CCTCATAATCGCCGAGAAGCTTCATGCCGCCGATGGTGGTTATTGTCAAAGTCTTTGTGATGCATCCCCCGACTGCATCTTCAGCTACTGTGGTGACGACAACATATGCCATGACGTGGGCTCTGCTGCTTCGAGCGGAGCTGTCCCATGCGGTGCTGCGGTAACGTCGTTTGACAGCTGCTCCTCTGCATGCGAGTCAGTCGCCGATTGTTCAGCAAGTCAGTGGAAATCTTTCTGCAAGACCTGGCTCGATACTCCTGTTTGTTTCGGTCTCCTCCAAAGTGCCAACGGATTGTGCTATGAGGTCTCGGCTGGATGTACTGGCACTGCCTATCCCTGTCCCTGAAGAGTACTACTTCACGCTGGTAGCGTGACGCCATACTGAAGTTTTTGTTACTGAGCTATTCTTCATTATTGTTGTCATTCTGGATATCTCCATGCTAAGAGTATAAAGTAATTGATTGGACTCTATCTCTGTCTAGCCCCTCGGACTTGTGTTGTTCATTCAGTTCATCTCCAGACATTTAGGGTACTTTTGAGAGTTGAGGAGAGTTCACATAACAATCGACAAAAAAGATTGCGCCTCGAGAAAATGAGTCATACAGGTCGATATACCTATTAATTCAGTTTGAATCGTCCGTGCCAATCCTAGAATATCTTTACTGCAGCCGTGTACAAATCAGCAGAACAAACATTCAACTTCGGTTTGAACTGCCTCTCCAAGTATGCAAGCTGGCTGGTTCACCCAGCGGCTAGACTAAACATTTTTCCGCCTTAACCTGGCTAGTAAGAAAATAGCATTTTCTTGTCGCCCAAGCTAAAGGTAGCTTGAGCTTCGACAGATGTGCAATGTATCAACATTTTCCATAATGTGTGGGGGACTCTCAAAAGTTATTGCTGCCTATCCAATGCCGTCGATTAGACTCATCAATTTTCCAACATCAGGTGAGTCAGCAGCATGTGTGCAGCATATTTGACAATAATGGAACACCCACGCTTCGCGCTTACTCGAGAGTAATTACAATAGTTATTGAGAATCGCTGACATCGTCTACTACACCAACAGATCTTGTTGTTAGCAGCGCATTAGACTCTGGTCATCGGATATGATAATTCACATCGCGTCTGCAGTGCAAGTAAATGCACCGCTCGACTCATCAAAACATTAACGTCTACACAACACGGCGATGCTTATAGATGATGCTTCATTCCATTCATGGAGGTTTCTGAACAACATCTCACCAGTGGAGCAGTCATGAGAGCTTTATACAAAAATAATCAATCCTCAAACATAAAGCTCTGTCTTATGCAGTGCTGCCTTATGGGAGGATGGGAGGAGCATCAGTGAAGTCGCCAATAGAAGGCGCACTGGTAACTACCGGAGCTCCAGTGCTAGTAGCCTCCATCATAGAGGATTCAGTGGTGGACACCATTGAAGAGGCTCCAGTAGTCATAGACTCAGTCAGGGTGGCTGTGGGAGTAGTAGACTCATCCACAGGAGCTTCAGTTGTGGACTCGTCTACAGGGGCCTCAGTAGTGGACTCACCAACGGAGGCTTCAGTAGTGGACTCGTCTGCAGGAGCCTCAGTAGTAGACTCGTCTACAGGGGCCTCGGTAGTAGAGTCGTCTACAGCGGCTTCACTAGTGGGCTCGTCTATAGGGGCTCCAGTGGTAAACTCGTCTGCAGGGGCTTCAGTAGTAGACTCATCTACAGGGGCTTCAGTAGTGGACTCGTCTACAGGAGCCTCAGTAGTAGTCTCACCTACAGGGGCTCCACTAGTGGACTCGTCTATAGGGGCTCCAGTAGTAAACTCATTCACAGGGGCTTCAGTAGTAGCCTCACCTACAGGGGCCTCAGTAGTGGACTCTTCCATAGTGGCCTCAGTAGTGGACTCGTCTACAGGGGATTTAGTGGTACCCTCATCTACAGGGGCCTCAGTAGTAGACTCGTCTACAGGGGCCTCAGTAGCAGACTCGTCTACAGGAGCTTCAGTAGTAGACTCATCCACTGGGGCTTCAGTAGTAGAACCGTCTACAGGGGCCTCGGTAGTAGACTCACCAACAGGGGCTTCAGTAGTGGACTCGGCTACAGGAGCCTCAGTAGTAGACTCTTCCATAGTGGCCTCGGTAGTAGAGTCATCTACAGCGGCCTCAGTAGTAAACTCTCCAGTAGTGGCCTCAGTAGTAGACTCGTCAACAGCGGCCTCAGTAGTGGACTCGTCTACAGGGGCCTCGGTAGTAGACTCACCAACAGAGGCTTCAGTAGTAGACTCGTCTACAGGGGCCTCAGTAGTAGACACATCTACAGGGGCTTCGGTAGTAGCCTCACCTACAGGAGCTTCACTAGTGGACTCGTCTATAGGGGCGCCAGTAGTAAACTCATTCACAGGGGCTTCAGTAGTAGCCTCAACTATAGGTGCTTCAATCGTGGACTCACCAACAGGGGCTTCAGTGGTAGCCGCATCTACAGGGGCCTCAGTAGTGGACACTTCTACGGGGGCGTCAGTAGTAGGTTCTTCTACAGGGGCCTCGGTAGTAGTAGACTCTGCAGGCGCCCCTGTCCCCGGCATCTCTGGTGTTTCCGTAGTATCATGGGGAGGGTATGGTGTTGTAGCCGTGAGGACGGAATGGTCGAAGCTGAGCTCAATAGTCGAGTCCTCAACCCGGTAGGTGTCGTCAACGGTATACATCGGGCCGTAGTCGCCAAAAACGCAAAAGCCGCCGCATCCCCTCTCAATTTTCGCCGTAGTGGACTGCATACCGCGTTGGACTCCCCTCCACTGGAGGATGAATGGGAGGCCGTGAGCGAGGACCTTAACGCGGTATCCCCGCATGTAACCAGAACGCTTCCTCATGGCGAGGAGAACATCGCCGGACGTTACCCACACAGGATCCCTCTTCTTAGGTTGATCAGCAGAATACCATGTCTTATACTTACCATCAAAGACGACACAATGAAGCCTCTCATCACCAAACTGATGCATCAGATACCAGGCGCCATCGCCACCAGCGGGACCAAAGCAAGGAACAGCCGTCTGACCCCATGGGAGGTAGATGTTAGCCCGGGCTTTGGCCGTCAAAGTGACGTGATGATAATCCTCGTCCCGGCCGTGCTCACCATCCACCGGCTTGGGTGTGGTGGTTGCTTCCTCACCTACTGAATGATTTCCAGTCATCATGTCAGGTTCGACAGGAAGAGGACGGAAGTAATAGGCGCTGATGTACGCATTGCCGACACCATTGTACATCTTCACGGTCGGGTAGTAACCAAACCAATGCCCAAAGGTGCCTCCGTGGACACCAACGGTGAGATAACGGAAGTCCTCATCGTTGACGTTGTACCCTTTCGTCTTGGCGTAAACCGTCACGTCGGTGGCGACGCTGTCATAATCGTCCAATTTGAAGTCACCCGAGTAAACCCCAAACTTGGTAGTCTTCCGGGTATCAAAGAAGTCACCCGGCATAATATCAGTAATATCGCCAACGGCACTCGGCATGAAGTCCGCGGCCTCGCTATGGACACCACCCATACCGTGGTGGAATAGGTAATGAAGCATTTGAAAGAAATCCTCATGATCGCCGTTGTCAGTCGGTGGCTGTGGAGGCTTCGTCGGCAAGATGACCCCTTCAGACGACTTGTGGTCATCGGCAGCTGTCTGCCAGAGGACGATGGAGAGGAGGGGGGAATAGAGCATTTATCGAACCGCTACCTGAAATTCTAATCCCACTACGAACCGCGTCAACCACCGATTGCCTAAGAGAGCTTTAAATCTGCATCTTTTCAAAACCAAAAACAGCTGCGTTCACTAATCGTTTCAGATATTTTCGGTATCGGACGCCCGCGCAGTTTCAATCTGGATATTTTTATGCGGTGTGACATTCTCTGGAGCAGCTTTCCTCATGGCGCAGGGGACGCACCATACATGATCCCCTCCTGCGTACAAGCTTACTGCAGAGATGAGACTGTGGTATCGGATCATTCCCCAAGGTCGAATCGTCGAGGTTACGCCGGTTTCTTTTGATATGGTACAGCTACTTTACGAACTGCAACTCCACTTCTTTAAGGAGGCTCTTATGCGGGATTTACTATCTATCTGTAATGCACGCTCAACAATGGATTCGGTGAATAGCTGTGGATGACTATAGCAATTCTATCAGTACTTATTATTTCTCTGCTCATTTTCTGCGGAGTCGGTTGATGATATAACTACTCGTAACCAACTACCAAGTTATGTAGAGGATTCGATTACACCAACATGCCGTGACGAGAATAATATCGAGTAATAACAGACAACCGCACATGGACACGGACGGTTGCCTCCTGCGTCAAGCTCTTGAGAGGGAATGCCGTCAAGAAGTGACCTAAGCAAATACAACGCGAAAATAGTCACAACATCGTCGTGATCAACAGCTATGAATTTTACTCGAATAGCGACTAGGAGCAAAAAGGTTGCTGCTAATCTCACCTCGCAATCTATCCCACAAAGAGTCCCCACTGCCTCGAGTACAGAGGTAGGAGAGATGGTAGTCACCCGACGATGGTGGTATATAGAACCGACACTTGCCCAAGTACATAAACGACGAACGCATTGATCACTGTGGCGGTGGTATCAAGTAAAGGGATACTGCTACGTACAGTAATATCGCATAGTAGCATACAACGATGTACCCGGAGCGTGATAAATCGAATCGTTGGGAAATCGGCTTCTTGAAGAGCGAGTGGTATGTAGAGAGTTGGACCAATGCTCGTATGCGAAAGAAGCCCACATAATTTCAAGACATGCAAGTAGTTTATAATCTTGAATAAGATTTTATAACAATGATAACACCATGAGTTTCCCTCGATATTCACATGAGCACTCCGACTCTTGCACAGATGGAAAGAGGTATGCTCGTAGGGACATGACCCTAGTTGTATAGGAATGCTAGACTATCGAAAACTTTCCGTGTCGTTCGAATTTCAGAGCCAACAAACACGAATGATTAAATCTCTTATTTCATCTATACCTTTCAGAAATCTTTTTGGCGGATTAGGCTACCGATTAAGCGGATAAGGAGGTCACCTTCGCGGATAGGGACATCAATTTAGCGATGAGAGTCGAATAGGGAAATCAATTTCGCGAATAAAGACATCAATTTCATGATTAAGGAATGCAATTTCACAAACAAGGACATCGATTTCGGGTTAGAGTTCCATCTACACAGAAGATTCTTCGTGCTGCTAGAATTGAGTGATGATGTGTAAATGAATCCTTCACGCTGCGCAGAAACATCCTCCCCGAAATTATTTCTGAGAAGATGTAGTCCATGCGGAAGCCGGGCCTGAAGGACCTGGCGCACAATGACGCCTCCTTCGAGGTTCATGAGAGGAATAAGCACGAGACAGAAACGCTTCAGATGACAAAAGTTTGTCTGACAAACTTCAGGGCCGACTTCCGCCTGGACTACATCTTCTCAGAAATAATTTCGGGGAGGATGTTTCTGCGCAGCGTGAAAGATTCGTTTACACATCATCACTCAATTCTAGCAGCACGAAGAATCTTCTGTGTAGATGGAACTCTAACCCGAAATCGATGTCCTTGTTTGTGAAATTGCATTCCTTAATCATGAAATTGATGTCTTTATTCGCGAAATTGATTTCCCTATTCGACTCTCATCGCTAAATTGATGTCCCTATCCGCGAAGGTGACCTCCTTATCCGCTTAATCGGTAGCCTAATCCGCCAAAAAGATTTCTGAAAGGTATAGTCGACTCATACCATCATCAATGCAATGTTTTTCAGTTGCCCTACCCTTGGGAGCTGCGGACATTGATCTCTATAGTGGGCCAACACGAAGGGTCGGCTATGGCGATATGGAACTCGAAAGGGCATCTTATGGGCACTTTTGGGTCCGCTGGTGTGACAAAGCCCGCACATAACGGCTAAAGACAGGGCAGTGCTCGTGGAGAAACGCGGATGGGTAGACTCAATAAGAACGAATAAAATTCAGTTTCTGTCTGCACGCAGGAGTTGATATGCAAACATCCTCAGAATTCGTCCAAATTCCAAACTTCTTGCATGTGCGTGCAAATGTGCGCATAGGACGTAGCTAATAGTGGACAGCACACCTTGAACAATGTTAAGTATACCGTTTGCGGCTCTTAGCATCATCATGTTATATGACTATTATATAATAAAACACGTATACATTGTGTAAAATATATTCATGCATATGCGTGCAATTGTGTAGAACGCATAGGACATAGCTAATAGTGGACAGCACACCTTGGATGGACAATACTAAGTATACCACTCTCGGTTTTATAACATTATCATGTGACATAACTATTATACACCCCTCCACATATTCTTAGCGTATCCGCTTTTTCGACTCATGTACAGCCACCACAACGAGGATCATCTAGCAAAAACTGACCAGGACAGGCTGTCCTGGACAGCTGATGAGCACGAAAGCGCGCCGAAAGAGAGTGTAAAACCCGCCGTGCAGGGAGCCGCCGGGGGTCGAGACGCACTAGCAGGCTTGCGCCTCCAAATATGAGAGTGAAACATGGAGGGATACCCTTATGAAAGATTCTCTTTCTGTTGATGTATAGCACTAGATCAGGAGCGGAGTTATGGATATACTCCCCCAGTAAAAGTTGGTATTTTGGGGCTCAATTTTAACACGTGTATGCTAAGAATATGTGGAGAAAACTTTTTATCAATCTTCGACTTCTCACTAACTACGAAGAGTTGGGCCCTGAAACTTGGAGGTCATATCAGGTAAAGCATAAGTACATATCTCACTGAGCCGCAAGATGATACTCGTTGTGATGGCTGTGTACGAGTCGAAAAACCGGATATGCTAAGAATGTGTGGAGGGGTGTATAGGAGAGCACGTATACATTCTGCAACATATATTTTCAACAACCTCACTATAGTATCGATCTCAATGACACTCTCAAGAGCCTTGAATTGAAACCCTCGTCGACTCACATTGCCATCATCATGTTCAGTAACCGAGGAGCTCCCCTTGGCTTGCCCTTGCAATACACCACCCTCTCCAGAAAGGGATAATGCCCACGAACATACTGCTGCCTTTAGTGGTGACACGCCTACCTACAGTGGGTCGCAACAACAATCACAGCAATCATGTGGGTGGAATAGATCCAGTGAGAATATATGCACATTATCAACTACTTGTGATAATATGAAAATTCCCAGGGAATTTCTCGTTGGTTTCTATACATTTCTACTCGAACTTCTGAATGAGTTTCTACAACAAGTAAAGAAACTGCTGAGCTCAGCAGCAGCTGAGGGAAGCGATCATATATTCCAATACCGTATCACACATGTAAGACTCTCGGAGTAATAACTCAAGTAGAGCAATAACAGAGGTAAGCCAATCTACTTGATATAGGCATACAAAACGCCTCGTACGAAAAAATATCATCTCGCATATGTAAAGGCGATTCCGACTAGTGCCCACCTGCCATGCAGAATTATAAGAACTTTTTCCCTAACAAAACCTCTCAAACACTTTTTTCATTCTTTAGAGTCAAAAGAAACCTTTTTGGCCTTGAGAGTTTCTATGTCACCTACCGCTTCAACAGCCGTGATTTCTCCATTTACATACAGCTGAGGCCGTCTACCGTCTACTGCTCGAGACGACAAATCCATACCACTCCTTTCTCCCTCAAATGCACCACGACCAACATTGACTACGACGTACACAACATTGTGAACATAACAGAAACCATCACTTCGGCCAGGGCATGAACCCATCGCGAAATTGGAAGGCTTTTTCATATCTCATCCACCACTCCATGAATTCTGCCAGGCCCGGAGCTTGCAAGCTGTGTTCCGCTTTCAGGCGCGCATATTTATTACTTACCAAATCTCGGGAGACTTTCTCGAAAGAACTCATACGAACCGGTATGAATTCCACCATTCCATCTGCGATGGAGTTCTCGATAAAAGTCCCTCCGGAAGAAACCACGCTGAGCTTCAAGGCTCGAGCGCCACAAAGACCCAGCAGGGGCAACCCGATTATATGGAGAATTTGAAGACCTAGACTGGAGGGCAAGATTAGATTTATAATCGCCATCGAGGAAGTCGATAATATGAACACCGAAAGCCACTTGAAACTTCGGAAGAGCATCCTGGGAAAATAATACGAAAAGTCTTATGATGATACGGAGTTACTTTTTTCGATAGGTTCTGACCCATTCGAGGACCTCAGCTGGGCCGTTTTGTTGAGGGTCATAATAAACCACCAGTGAGGGTCGATCGTCGGGGATGCCTCGGAAGGTTATCACTGCACAACGGAGGAGGGTGGTCTCTATGGGGTCGCAACGTATTGACCTGCGAACAGCTTTATTCTGACAGAGTAAAAAATTGCAAGAAACTCATGAAATGATTCGAAAGAAAAGAAATGCATTTCATGACGATCATGGAAAAAAATCCATCTTCCATCTGTGAAAAGACCCATTCGGATCATCATCATGTATTTTCATCAAATAACCTTCTGAAACCCATTGTATTCATTCCACCAAGTAGGATTTACAACGTAACTATGATTCATCATAACTTCTCCATTGTGTGTTACGTGAAGCTTCTCTAATTCTTGTGCATGAAAAACGACCAACACCAGTCGTCGTACTGCTGAGCACCCTTGCTACCACATCGCAAAGTAGCCGAAACCGTTATATGGCATCCAGTTCCGACGACTGGCCTCGGCCTTCGGAAGGGGGAACATACCATAATACCCCCAAACAAACAATCCCTCGCTACCATTGTTTATCTAGCCATTGAGCCAGCTGCACTCTCCTAGCCTTCAACCGTGGCTCCAATCCATTATCATTTACAGCGACCAAACGATTCACGATCGACAACTGCCTTTCTCGAAGGGCGTAAACCAGTGGATGGGATTTCGGTAAAAGATGGTGACGGAAAAAATAAAGTCGGGCGATAGACATCAATGCGAGTTAACTACAATGACTTGCCTGACGAGCCGCATTAATAACCCGTGGTAAAACGTCACGAAAATGTCCAGTTGATGGCGCGGTAAAAACGGACCGTTTTACGCGTTTTAAGAGCAAATAAGTTGACGTTTTATGGTATCGAAAATTTTCATCTCTGATAATGAATGAAAATGAACAACCATTGTTACAAAACATGTTTGCTTTCCTCAGCTGAGCTTGGGAGTTTCCTCACTGATTATAGCAGTTTATATACGAATTGTACAGAAACCAACGAGAATTCCTCAAAATTTTTATATTGTCGATCACACATGTAGTTGACCATGTGCACATTCTCCCACTCTGTGAATAACTGTTATTCTCACTCACATACAAACTCGACGCCACAGCTCCTGTCGAAAAAGCAATAATGTAAGTTGGTGTTATGGAATGATCAAACGAGTAACCAGTAAATGACGACGCACTTAGGCGATTTCACGCTCCAAATCCAACGCTCTGTGAAGACTGTTGAAGAACTCTTGCGCTGATATCACGTAGGAGGCGAAGTTCATGTTGGCGACAAACCTGATGGAAAATCACCGCAACGACAACAGCGCGGTGCTCACATCTCTTCTGCTTCCTCAGCAGTGACCAACTCGATGCCAACTAATGCACATATGTAGTCCAGGGCCGCCTTGAGCTGGGATGACTTCTTCAGAAGGCGTTCACCACTTGCACAATCATCAGTAGCACCTACAATAACATCCATACGACAACCGACCCCCTCCACGCGCGAGTCTTACGTTTGAAACTGTCAAGGCACGCCACTTGGAAGTCTCCTTGCTCTCGAAGAAGACGACCCAAATTCTTCACGGCATCGTTATATTGCTGGAGGGGCTCATCACTCTGAAAATAGTATGATAGTAATCGATCGACCTTAACACGCGATATATATTGTAATTACATCAGCAGCATTAGCTCCTTCAGAATTGCCTTTGGAATCCACCACGGGCAAGGCGGTTTCAACAACAGTGCCTTTCCACTCCTCTGGAGTCAACTGACCGTCTTCGATTGGCATTATAACGACTGGATCGTGCTTGATGAACGATAGAAAGCTTCGTCGCTGCGCAACACGAAAAATGGAGGTCCGGGGAATTGAACTCGAGAGCTTCGCTGCAGCGCAAGAAGCTGATCGCCCGCCCAAAACTCGCCCGTCGACATCCGCGTCGTACGGCACATTATTCGAACGGTAAAGCTTGTATAATCTAGAGAGCAACTAGCTTCACAGATTTCGGAAGAAGTTCTCCCGAAAAACTATTAGAAAATGTAACATTCTGTAAGATAAATGTAATATCCATTCACTCTTTGCGGCTCTCCGAACCACCACTTGAGGAAGAAAAATGTATCAAGACTAACGACAGACAGATGAATCTCAGAACATCTCATCGAAGTTGACCAACCATCCGTTCATCATCTTGTAGTCTTGACACAACTCAATTTCGGATGAATCCCTCGTCACTTGAACTCAAAGTAAATATAATTATTAAATATCCTCTCCACTAGTAATTATAGTAATGTAATAAAGTAGTTATTTCTTAAATATTTAATTATAATTGGATACCAATGAATACATACCATCATAATCCCTCATGATGATATTATCGAGAGGGTATATTGATGAGATATAAATAGTTAGGTTATCAATGTACTATAATAAACATCTATATAGTATATGGATGCACCTATTGATATTATAAACATACGATTAACCCTTGAGTAATAATATCGGCTATTAATCTCGAGAAGCATGCTGCGTATGCTTCTCCAGGAACAAGTAGCCGAATCGTATCTCTCCTCGAATACAGGCTGAGAAGGAGTCCTGTTGGAGTTCGGTTCCAAGCCTATCGAGGGTCCGAAGTAGGCGATATCATCAGCAATGGTTTACTCCCTTGGACAGATGCAATTCGTCGACTGCTCGTTAGATAAGACGCGAGATCTGCACTCCTCGGTTAACTTCCCTCGAAGTTATTGAGGGAAGTTGATCGAGCTGAACACGGCGAGAGATAGCGCCGAAGAATTGAGGCTGCCTATGCAGAGATGTTAATGCATATGTGAGTTGTAGAAGCGACAAACACATCATGAAGTTCATATTTTGAACTATATGTGAGTTGTGGTAGGCAGTGGTAGCAAGAAACACAACGCTATACCATGAAGGAATAGTAGGAGTCAACATAATAAGATGCTCATTTTCGAAGCACTCAGCGAACAGTACGCGCCCGTTGAGGTAGGAAGTTGCCAAACACACTTGCCAATAGTACAAAGGTATCGCGCTCGGAGCTTACTCAAGGATCTAAAGCTCAGATCCTTGAATATGCTCCCGTGAAGATTCTAAACTCATTAGAATCTACTTGTGTAAAGATCATAAACCCGCCCTCCTCCGAAGGTTTGGAAGGGTAAAGAGGCGAGGCGAGAAGTGGTGATGGCGGTGCGTTGTTCACGCAATTGCAAGAAAGAGGTAAACGTCTAATAAACATTTCCACGTAGCCCTCGTCGTCGGCGTCGTGGTTATGTTGGCAGTAGGGAGAAAGAGTATATCTACTCTGCATAGTAGGGTGGTAGTGGCCACTCCCACTGTCACTCGTCGAGCAATGGTCTCCTCCTCAAGACCCACCTTTGCAGCAGAACAGGGGACTGAGTCGACCCCACCAAAAGAGCAGAAGGTGACCCTTGAAAAGCCTCCTAAACGTCCTTGGACGGCAACAAGCCTTTTCCTGTATGGATCGGGCATTGCCGCTGCCACTTGGGTGGGGTACTGCGCCGTCCTATCCGGTGGGAATCCTCACAAAACAGAGATTATGATAGAGAACAGCATCAAGCGGTTGCCACTGTATAGGCCTCCCGAAAGGCCAGAGGCAGAGAGGCTCAGTAAAGTGAACCAACACGGCCTTGATGATGCTACTATGGAGGACCTTGCTACGTGGTTTATGGTAGAGGACAAGAGGACGGCTGACGGGGTCAGTCGATCGATGGTGTTGGACCTTGTGGGGGAATCTCTGGGGCTTTTAGAGCCCGAGGAAGCTGAGATGGAGAAGGAGGTCGAATTGAGGTATCCACGATTTGGGGAGGAGAAGGGGAAGCAGTTGAGTGAAGTGACTAAGGCATTCGTCCACAAGGGGCGTGGTCGGCTCGATGAGGAGAGGAGGCAAGCTGGATGCTCCCTCAGTGAAGCCGCCGAATTGCTTTCTAGTGTGGTTGGTATTCACGGTGACGGTGTGGCTGAGAAGGTCCGACAGAGGTTGAGTAAAATAGTAGAGACTAATTACAAAGACAGCGCCTTGCCGACGGTTTCCGTGTTTGGAAACCCGATGAACATCCCTGCACCTCCGCAGCCACTACCTGAGGTTGACGAGGAAGAGGCCGACAGGGCTGTATTGAAACTAGAGTTGGAGCAATACAAGGCGGAGCTTGCTGGTGGTGATGTGGATAAGGAGAGGAGGAAGTGGCTACAGAATGAGATAAAGACTGTTGAAGGGTTATTGCAGGAGAAGTGAATGGCACTTTTCGGGCCTGAAACGTATCTTACCATGACCAACCTCGGAGTATCTTAGTCGGACTGTATCCACTTGTGTGAATGTAACAGTTGAAGATTCTCTTATCGAATATAGTTTCGATAGCAGTTAGTGTCGGGTTGAGTCCCGCGAAAAAATATCTTAGGTCGATCAAGGAAAGATACAGATCATGTCCAGTTCTGCACCATCAGTCGAGGAGATCGGCCATCGCTTGGGTGATGCCTACCGTGGTTTCGTCAGCAGGTTTTCCAAAGTCCCCACTGAATCCAAATTCGCAGTGAAGGGGACTCTAACCCCTGGTAAGCGTCGAGTTTCAGTTGAGACCCCCGAGTGTGTTCCCAGAGGAGTTCGTAGCAGCTGGTGATGCTCTGGTGACGAAGTTCCCGACTTGGCAGTGGGCTCCAGCAGGGAAGGTAGCCTACGAACAAGTAGGGAAGATATGGAATAGGCTCTATCGGGAGACGACTTGTTTGGCATGCTCAGTCCCATCTACCTAAGGAAAAGCAATACTTGATCACGAAAGGAGTACCGTGTTTTGCGAGGGTGAAGGATCTCGAGAACAGCGTTAAGGATGTCGCTGTGTAGTGTTAGCGCCATTTCTGATGGAAAAAGTATAAAATAGCTTATGTTAGGACGACTACCGAGGATGAGGATGGATGGTTGCAGACAGGAGAATCGCAGTAATACTAGTATGTTCATCTTCAGCACGCTTCCCTATCTTAGTCCAGTTTACGCTGTTGGACGGGGCAACGCCTCTAGGGAAGAGGTCACTGACATCACAGATAGCGCTCAACAAGCGAAGACTGAGTACACTAGGGTAGATACCATGTTGCTACCATCACTTCACTGTCATAGGTCATCAAAGGCCCCGACGATGGTCGTGGTAGAGGACTATGATGATGAGGAGGTGCGGTACTCGTTTTTTATAGTAGCTATCCCTTTCCTAAGGCCCATGCCGCGATCTCTGCACTAGACAGTTTGATAGCCCCTCAAGGTGCCACACCAGTTGTGGTGCCTCCCCCTGATGAGGACCTCAGGAGGAGCTATGATTTGAGCATTACTTGGGATAAGGTAAGAAGGCCTTTCTTCCTCATCTGATGGTCGTGTAGTATTACCAAACTCCTCGGCTGTGGCTGTCTGCTTTTGATCGATTCGGCCAACCATTGGCACCAGAGAAGATCTTTGAGGACGTTTTGACGGAGTATAGGAGTAAAACTGTGACAGTGGACCCCCACCCCTGCACTGGTGATACTAGGAAAAATATGTTTGCTTCCCTCAGCTAAGCTCAGGCGTGTCCTCAACACATTATGAAAATTTGCACAGGACTTGAGGTCAAAGTATGCGAAATAATAGAACAGGAAATTTCCCAAAATTTCATCAGAACTTTCATATGGCCACCAACACACGTAGTTGATCATGTGCATATCCCCCCTTCCCCACCAAGGGTAGTAGTAGCATACACCCTTATAGGCATACCATGTGCGTCCATACACCCTTGTCGGCACGCAGAGATGATGCTTAGAGTGATTCGGAACTGGCAAGAGGCCGGGGAAAAGGTAATAAACCTCTTGTGGGCTTAGTGAAACCACCACATTCTAGGTTCAGTCAGAGCTGGCTCTATTAGTCTTTCTAAAGTTCATCTCTGGAGTGGTAGAAGATTAGCTCGAGGAGTGGTATCACTACTTGGCAATTTTCTCAGGTTCCCACTATTAATTATGACTTTACAGCTGACGTCACGATGTAGGATTTGTGTTCGCATGATGATACTCGCTGTTTTACATTGGGCATTTTTATCGATAATCAGAGGATTAGAAACTCACCGTTTCCATTGCTCTGCTACTGCTGATTCTCACGAGTTTAGTTGGACAAGTCGATATACCCAACCTCGTGTTTAATTATTATTCCGCGTTGTAACAAATTCCCTTCTTGAATTCTTTGCTACTCACAAACCTAGATGATGGAGAATTAATCGTATTCTTCCCTTCATAGAGTAAAGTCGGTTACTGAATAGTAATTGGCCAAGCGGTTGAATATCCCATGATTTCACACATACTCGAAATTCAATATTTCCAATTGATTCCTTCCAACTGTGAACCCTCCGAATGGAATCATCGATGATTATAATGATAACCCAACACGACAAGGCATTGTTGTACATGTTGTGGTAAATGGATGCACATCATACAAGCATGGAAGCACTATGAGCATCTTTCTCAAGTAGAAGCTGTAGAGGTAGGCGGCGCCACCGTAGTAGTAGTGATAGCCGGCGCAATCACAGACTCCTCCGTGCGACATGTCATAACGAGATTCGCGTTGTTGTTCATATGGGAAATGTAACGACCGAACCCACCAATGGCAGTAGAGAAGGCGGTGATTGCAGCACAGTCTAGCTTAACACCTCCTACCCTTGCTGGAAGGTCTACCATGTCTATCTGGTCCTTGGCACCCTGGGTGAACTCGGTCAACTGGGAGAGGTCGGGGTCAGCAGTTTTAGCAGTGGGGGCGTCACCATTAGTGTCACCATTGAACTCGAGGGTGATGGTAGAATGACCCGGCAGGAAGTCAACCTCACAGTTTTTACTCCCGGAAGGGCCGCTCTCTGTGGAGCCCGTATAGGTGCAGAGGACCTTCAAGCCGTTGAGGAGGGAGTCACGGCCGCTGTGGAGGTACTCCGATAGGGCAGGGCAAGTAGGGGCACGCCGTTGAAGGTTGTCGAAGAATCTCGGACCGAAGGTGGCCATCTGCCCACCACAACGCCCACTGACCAGCGTGTGGACATCCCCGGTATGAGTAAAGACCAAATAGGAGTCGGGGTCGCCGAGGAAGACCTTGCAGGAGTTGCCCGCCTCCTCTGGGGGTAGTATCTGCCGAGCAACTTCACCGATGTGCAGTATATGACAGGGTTACCTCAGCCGAGCTGGTCTTGTAGGGGAAATCATCGTGCTTATTGCAGCCACCAAGAGACCTGATAAGAATACTGATAGTCTACCTAGGATCAGAACAGACTCACATTGCGACGGCCGAGGCTATCCCGACGCTCGCCGCTTTCAACATTAGAGTGTGCGGTGAAGTGGCAATGTAATAGAACTGATGAGAATATTGCACAGGGGAAATTCTGAGGAGACTCCCCGGTCGTTGGAAATTGGTAGAGCTCGAAAATGATTGTTAACGATTTTACGTGCAAGTGCATGAAAGTGTGCAAAACGCCGATAATGGCGGCGGCGGGCGAAATCGCGTGATGCAGGTTTCATCCCGGATTGGGCATGAAGTATCTCGAAGTTGTTTTTACGATAAATCGAAGTCGCTAAGTCGGTGATTGGTGGAATCTGGTGCTCGAGTGATTTAGGGGCGGGGATGAGTAATTTAGGGGCGGGGATGAGTAATTTAGGGACGGGGATGAGTAATTTAGGGACGGGGATGAGTAATTTAGGGGCGGGGATGAGTAATTTAGGGGCGGGGATGAGTGATTTAGGGGCGGGGATGAGTAATTTAGGGGCGGGGATGAGTAATTTAGGGGCGGGGATGAGTAATTTAGGGGCGGGGATGAGTAATTTAGGGGCGGGGATGAGTAATTTAGGGGCGGGAATTTTCCGTCTTGATGAGGTGCCCTTGGCTCATTGCTGCCTAGTAGGATCATTGAAGCTCCATCACTTGTTCGTTGCCAGATCGATTCTCTTGCTCACTATTGAATCAACCGTTACTCTCTCACCCTTTACCCAATTCGGCTACAACTCTAACTGTACAGGTATTGCATTCGAGAGGGATCATCTCGAAGGTAGTCGGATGCAGCCAATCCTACCACGGCAGCAGGCCCTTCGACAATCCGGAGGGTATTTCATGGTGGCGTAGTGATGCTTCTGACGTGTTACGTTAACACTTGCTCATTAGATCATCTATCTTGTATTAGTGAAGCTTCTAGAGATAGGGCGCACCCAAATAACTCCAATAGTTATGTATATAAACAATTCCTGTGTATTATTGACTTCTGTACTCACTTTGGACTGCAGCAGCAGACCCCATAACCGATTGATTCTCGTATAGCCCTTGACTGGAATCCTGAGAGTAGTAGGCCGCCGCCGTGGGGAAATTTGGGTATTGTGAGCGGGGAAAGGTCTGGCTGTGGTGCTAGTGAGCCACCCTGCGGCCCCTCTGTGTAGTGCTTTTGATGACTAGCGAGCCAACCGGAGAGGGAAGGTCTGTAGGCTGCTTCTGCTCCTTGAGGGCCAATGCACCTGCATACCGCTCCAAAGAATCAACGTCCTAATGTTAAGTAAACACGCCTTTATTAGTTTCCGAAATCCTTGAACAGAGTTGAAGTCCCCTTAAACAGCTTCGCTCCGCAGGGTCCAAAAGTCTCATATGCCTGGTCAGTACAGCCAATTCATCCCAGGCTTCGAGCTTCGCTCCGCTAACGACCATAGTAGAGTTTACCACTTTCATAACCTACTCGGTGAGGGAGCCTTCGGCCAGGTAGGATGTATGCCCTCAACGTACTGGTGGTCACTGATAGCTGACAACAGGTGTGGAAATGTACTGATCTTTCCTCCGAGACGGAGGTGGCTTTGAAAGTAGTAGACTGCAATGCTGTTGGTAAGGAGTCACTGAAGGGCATTGAAAAGGAAATTGAACTCACCGGTGAGAGCGGCTGTCGTGGTGGTCGCCATGCGATGGGTTTGCGTTCAGCACGGGCCCGTAGTGCTATGGGCAAGCTGTGCCCGAAGTTCTACGAGGCCTTTCGAGTGGATCTCCCGGACCCATTGGTCCCTAGTGGGAAGGCCCTTGTGAAGTGAGGAGGGCAGAGGCGGCCAGGGCCCCTTCACTGAGGGTGCTGTATTAGGTACCTAATAATGTCGATGGAGTTCATCGATGGTGTGCCCTTGGATAAGCTCATTGAGTTCAGCCTCCTCAACGAGACGGTCTGCGCGTGAGCCGGCTCTTTGTGGTAGGATATGTTATAGTTCATCACAGCTACGTCGTATACAACATCCTCCTTGCCCTCAAGGACCTCCATGAGAAGCATATCATCCATAGAGATATCAAGGCCGCCAACATTATGTTAGGTAGGGGGGAATATGCTCTCTTTGGGTGGACCTTGGGGGCTCAGGGAAGTCCGGTCGAGTGGTCCTTTGCGACTTTGGCGTATCTCGCCTTTTGGAGAAGGAGGCCCAAGCTCTCACTTTTACGGGTAGGGGACAATACAGCTAGCGTCGTACATTTTAAAATGATTAATCTCGTTAAAATATCGGCGAAAATTTTGAAAAGACATGTTTTTCTCGGAAAAATGTGGGAAAACTACGGGAAAAAATCAGTAAAATCTTTAGTTGTCGTAGTTTTATGGAGCAAAATCGATGGCCATATTAAGTGTTGATGGTCGCTGTCTTGAGCATGCTGCTAAGGTACCCCATTTTGGATGGCCCCAGAGGTCATCATATCATACTCCCTATCACAGAAGTCCGGTGGTAGTGGGCAGGTGAGCGACGATGGTGACACTGAGACTCCGTGTCACCGTCCTTGATTAGGTCCCTAGCAGTATGCGGGCCGGGTACGACTGTCGAGCCGACATCTGGTCCCTAGGGGTTACGGCTGTTGAGGCCTGTCTTGGCCACCCGCCCCATGCTGACAAGTTCGCACGTGAGTGCAGACCTTGAGGGTAAGTAGTTCAACGACATTGTCAGGGATGCCCCATATGGTGTACCTCACCATCGTTAAAGACCCTCCACCTACTATGGACATGTCCAAGTAAGCACTACCAACACGACACGCTGAGTGCATGGACGCTTTTAGGTTTTCGGATAGTTATAGGGACTTCCTCGACCACTGTTTTCAGAAGTGCCCTGATGATCGAATGACCGCGGCACAGTTGTTGAAGTAGTTACTACCATCAGTGAGGGTTGCCTGTCGTCGTCTGTATGAAATATATAACAGTCTTTACGAAAATGTTAAAGTATGTCATAGGTTCAAAACCATTATGGAGGAAGGATAACCTCATACACAATGGATGATATCCTACTTTATAATGATATTACCAAATTATTGGAGCTTCACGACGACCCGTTTTACGTGAAGTGGCGTCGTAAAAATCGGTGAAAAACTAGGCGATATCCGCGGTGATATTTGTAGTAGTCGTGAAAAATGTTTTCACTAGTGTTTTTCATATCACTAGGGTGGAACTTCATACTATTATAATGCATCAAGAACTTACTGAAAATGCAATATAATATATTTAATTGGAAATTTAGGGCCCCTCAGGCACGAGTGGATCACCGAGATGAAGGAGTATGAGAAGGATGTTGTAAAGGACAGGTTGATCTCTAATGTTAAAACGTAAGTCGGGATGGCCTTTGGAGGGGACGGCTGTGGTAAGGTACCTCATGTGGGAGGCTAAGCATGAGGAGGACGACGATGAGGAGGAGGAGGAGGATGAGGAAGGGTCGCACGAGATGGCCATGGGTGGTTAAAGTATAAAGTGAATTAGTGAATTGTTGGTATATGCTGCCTTTGCGGTTGCTTAATCGATTTTGTGAAGTGTGCATGAATGAATTCAATCGTTTACACAGAGACGGTGGTTGTGTTGGTCATTCGAGAAGTGGGGGGAAGAGTAGTGGTAAGCTTCGTAATGCCGGTGGTGGACAATATCAACTGGAGGCTCCTCTTAATAGCATACACGGTCACTGTGTTGGCTGGCCTCATAGTACTGCAGATAGTGTAAGACTGAGGAGCATATACAGCTTATCACCCTTGTCGGCTAGGATCGGCTCTGTTGGTCATACCATAGATCATTTGAGAGGCCACGCACTAGAGGGCCTTGTACCTAGAATGCATACGATGATCATCACTACACCACAGAAGGGGTAGGTGCTGGATGGGTGGCCCTGGAAGTCTGTGGTGTTAGAGTCTCTGAGGATGGCCAAAACACTCTGGAGGGGACGATGGGGGCTTTTGGTAGGAAGCTAGAGGAGATGCTCTTCGCTGCTGTTGGTCACAGATCAGCCGATAATGACGTATACGAGTATTGAGGAGGCTCAGGAGAGGCCCTTCCATGTCGTGTGAGCACTACGCTTATATACGTAGGTAGTACTTTCTGTTAGGTACGCGTGTGATAGGGAACAAGCCGACGCCGTAATGGCCAGCATTGCCAGTCTCGTTAGCAATACAGAGGAGCCTAGGGCCCTACATGTGGGCTCTGACCTTCGCACTGGTCCTCCACAGATGCCCTTAGATCCACGTCGTCGTGGGCAGCTCCTCTGACCAGCTATACTTCGCCCAAGTGTTAGGCTCGACGGACTCAGTAACGCTGAGGGGCGGTAGGGGGAAGCGGCCCTTGCGGGCATCTGTCCTGATGTGGGGCTGTAGGGGCTCGGCTGAGTCTCCAAGTGGTAGAGGCACAGACGATGATGGTCTCGAACGTTGAGGAGGAGGTTGTGAAAGTCGGGCAAGTCATGTCTCGCTCGGCAACATGTGCTCATCAGGAGCGGGGGAATATTCGAGCGATCGAGAACTTCGCTCGATTCTACCTGGACAGGATCATCACTGTGGAGTCCTTGGATGCTGTTGTGGTCTATTTGGATGCAGATACCATAGTCCTGGGCGACATCGCGGAGTAGGGGGACTCGATTGTCTCGTCTGAGTAGATTTTTAGGTCAAATCTGCCCTAGAGGGCTCGGGAGAAGCTGCGGTGGCCCTAGCGAAACGCAATAAGCCGACGACTATGGAAGCGTTCATAGAGGCGGATAAGAGATGTATGGTTAGCCTCCTCGTGCTCTGTGGTCCGTTGGGACCCGTATTACAGGTCTCGACCTCGATGTGAAAGAGCGCATCGGCAGGCTGAAGTCGAAGACTGCTTACAACGCGGGCGTGATGGGCATCCATCTTGGGCGGTGGAGGAGTTTGCAGGTGAACCGCTTCCTCATATTGAAGTTATCATTTGGGAGTAGATAAGAGATCGTGTCGAGCAATGGATCAGTTGGCACAACAAATGTCGCATTTGGAAGGGCGGCTCCCAGCCTCCTCTGCTGTTGGCCTTGTACGATCGGACTACAGCCAGGCTGGTGAGGTTTCTGAACTCATCGTAGAGAGCGCTGCCTGGCTTAGGGAGAAGAGCACAACGTGATGATCGAGCTGCCGTCCGAATGGAACTTTGCTAACCTCGGTTGGAGTAGGCGCAATGGAGACCCCCGGTCCAATTGAATATTTTTCCTCGACGTTCCAGAGACCGACTTCTCCGCGACGGAGCTGACACGGCAGAAAGTTCTTCATTGGAATGGTCCGAAGAAGCCGTGGTTGCCGAATGGCCTCTACGTCGAGACTTGGTTACCCTGGCGGAGGAAGTTTGATTCATTGGTAGGTCACTCCCTCTGTCTGTTAAGGTCTGGGTAGGATGCGCACCCCGAGGATATATTCAGCTTCACTTCAATTGGCTGTGTGGTCTAGTGGTATGATTCGCGCTTCGGGTGCGCGAGGTCCCGGGTTCGATTCTCGGCTCAGCCCTTATGTTCAGATCCTGAGTAGCAACGAATTGCCATCTCAGCCAGTCACAAATCCCGACGGTATCTTCGTCAACCTCTCTGCAGCATGCCAGGTTGGTCTCCTGAAGCAAAATTCACGCGCGGCCTGTAAGCCTTATGCCCGCGAGATTCAACCATCATCCTGAGCCTGGACGATCCCAGGTGTCGGTGGTCACTCGTTCGGTTGTTACTCTCCATTGGAGCTGTGGGTGGACAAGGGCTGCAAGGGCAAATTTGCCGTATACCGTGAGTTAATGGGAATTGCAGCTGCTGTTTCGTGCCGCGATAAATGTTGGGAAGAACCTCTGAACGCCACGATATGAGGAAACGCTGAACATAAGCTGAGGCTGCAGGTGCGCCTGCGAAGGCTGTGGGAGAACCCCTCCTAGTGGAGGCTCTGTTCTGCAAGTCACGCGGAGGAGCTCTGAATGTCTGTGATGTCGTCCCCGAGACGCCCGATGGTATGCTCCGCCAATGCATCGGCTACCGACACCTGAGCCAGGTCAGCCGTGTGAGACGCGTATTCTTACCACGTACTTCACACAACATAAGTCTGACTGGCAACGTGAAGGGGCACGGACGAAAGTGAAATACAAGTACACCGAAGCCTCCTCCTTTCATTCCTGGGGTGCCAGCAAACTGGCAGATACATGCGCAAGTTTTATGAATCGGCTCGGACGGTGTCGGGCATTCGGGTAGAGATTATTCATGACGGTTTGCCTGACGACTTTATTGCCAATTATACCACTGATAAGATCAAGTTCATGTGAGGAGCACTACAACGATGCAATGAGACAGTATAACCATTAGATACTGCGATCTGCACCAGTACGAGAAAAGACTCGGAGTTAACGATGTAGATTGCCGTCTCTGTTCCTAATGTTTCCCAAGGGACCTGACTTTCACATCGACTGTCAATGACCGTCTCGCTCTGCTATGGTATATTCAATAGCAGAGCACTCGGGCACGACTATGATGTTCGTATCTCCGATGGTAGGTTCGATACTACTGCTTCAAGGAGCGCCTAATCGCTAATCCCGAGTGGGAGTTTGTGTTCACGACCGACCTCACAGATGTGTTCGTCAAGAGCAACCCCTGCCCTTATGTGAGATGACTCTCCTTACATCGCTCTTAGCCCGATCAGGCCAGAAAGCATAGAGACCGCATATTCGTCGGCCGAGAGACAGTAGACTTGCCGAATCACCCATGGATGGAAAAAAGATTCAGGGAAGTAGCATTACTCCCATTCCTGATGGCTCAGCCGTCACATGAGGAGGGACTGTCTTTTTTTCCGATGATCGCTATCGGAGTCGCCCTCAGTTGAGCGGAAAATATTACGATTGGTTCCGCAGCCTGAGTCCATTTGGCCCTGAGGATAAGCGCATCTTCAATTGTGGCATCCTGGGTGGTAGGCATCTCACCACACCATACGACTTGAGCATTTGCCCCCAAGGCACCCCCCGACTTTTGCTGCGCCTCTTCGACCGCATGCTTCAAGTTATTGAGGATCCCCAATTACGTATTCGGAAGGAGAGTCCCGACACGGAGGTGACGGCTGAGCAGTTGGCAGTCTGGTAGACCAGTTCGTGGTTATTATCATTCAGGTTAATGTGAACATGCCGGCCCTCAATTGGGTCCTCTTCACCTCCTACCCACCAGAGTCGATTCAAAGCGACCAGCCAGTACACAGTCGGTGAGTTTGTCGACGCTGACCAAGTCCTGATGCACCTGCTGCTACTGCTCAGATACAAGTCGTGGGAGGCGGATCGGACTGATGTCTGGTTTGTGCATAAGTGAAGACGGTAAGAAGCATCGTCGTTTTCGAGGCAGCCGCTTTTGTTGTAGCATGTCTAACACGTCGGGATCACCTCAACAACCCGTTTCCTACACACATTTAGCGCTGCGTTCCTCAGTTGTGCAAACTCTGGTCACAGGGAATGTATGGCAGCAGCCCTCAATTCGATTACGAATGAACGCACAGGAGTAAGAGCGTTCTGTGCTTTGCTCACCGGATGTGACCGTCATTCTATGAGGTCACTACTGCTGATAGCACGACGTTGGTTTCGAATATTCAACTGCCCGTCTGTGACAATTATTCCTCTTGTCATATGGCTCACAAGGATGCCTTATGCTCTTGTTGAAGACAATCTTCATCGACAATTTGTTATGAGTTTTGAGTTTTGAGTTTCAATGTGTCACAACACAAAATTAATATCAACGAAACATGTTCCTAATTAGATGGACGAAGAAATGAACACACAGAATCGAAGGAATCTTCCCACGGGTCCTCTACCGGTGGAGGAGGGTTTGGCAAGCTGCCATCCCTGAGGGAGGGAATCTCGAGTTCTACCGACAACCGACTCACAAGTAGTCAGCCAGAGCCGTGCCGATTCTCTCGTGACAGTCCTTTAAGAATTCACTCTCCAGCATTTGTCGTGCATGAGTGAATCGAAGTCGGGGGTCGTATCGGAAGGTCCCAGCCAGCATCGGAAGGGCGGCAGGGGGCAACCGAGGGATCTGAAAATAGTTTGCCTCTGTGGGCCTACCGAGGGTTGGGTTCACATCTTGGGCCAGCCGCACAGACCAGCTGTCTTTGCTCTCAAGGGCTTCTCGGGCGAACGGTACTTTACCATAGTCTGGCAAGAGCGTGGCGGCGGGCCAATATCGGAGCTCCTCGCCAAGGAGGTCAGCAGTCCGATCTTTCAGAGGGACCACCAAAGGGCTTCCACCGAAACGCTTGTAGAGCAAAAAGAGTTGCTGTATATCCGTCTGTCCTGAGGAGCGCGAGTAAAACGGCACACGACTTCGTAGTTCACACCAGCGATGAGTGGCTGACCTAGATACATCTCGCAAAGTATGCACGCTGCTGCCCACATGTCACAACTCGATGTTTGAATCTCCGTGCCGAGTAGGATCTCGGGAGACTGATACCTTCTATGGAGGCTGGTTTAGGGTTGCTATGGTAGGAGCAGGTACCATCGTGTGGCCACTTCTCGAGTTATCGGCGGAATGCATTCCTTCTCTTCCCCCGACGCTCTCGCCAAACCAAAGTCGCAAATGACCACTCGACCGTCCCTAACCGATGGATGGTCTATGCCTCAACTAAGCGAAAGAATCTTCATGCTGCGTGCGCGTGCCGAGAAATAGAGTTCAGCGTGAAAAGGGCTCACCTATCCACGAGGACATTCCCAGGCTTCAAGTCTCGATGCATCATACCGGCATCATGGACGCAGGACAGCCCAGTGAGGACCTCTCGATAGATAAGTTTGATCAGCAACGACGGTAGAGGTGGCTTGCCTGGACCGATACGATGGACCACTACCGAGCAAGTGCCTACGGTTGAGTAGTTGGTCAAGATCCATGTCGTAGAGCCGTAGTTGGAGGACTAGGCAGTGCCCTTCGAATCGATGGCTGATGATATCGACGATGTTGGGGTGATGGGAGAGAAGTCGAAGCGTGAAGAGCTCTCGCAAGGCCCCTTTCAGAGACTGGATCCCCAAGCCTGAACATGAGCAGCCTCCAGGGCTTCTCTCCCCATAGTGGTATACCCGAGGTACTGGTGTGGATCTTCTTCTCTGCTATCCCTCCTCCACCACGATGAAGATGGTCCTCAACTTTGAAGACTGTCGAGAACCTTCCGGCGCCTATCCTGGCGATCGGGGGCTGTCTGGGCATTCCTATAAACTGAGGTCAACAACTGTGCGGCCAATGGCGATGAGTGTCCCAACACTAATGCCAAGATTCATTATTATTCAACATTCATTGTTCATCAGGCGATCAAGCATGGCCTTTCTGTCCATCTCCAGGGTCTCCATGCTTCGACTGACCACACTCAACAGAACCACACCCTCCACAGAGGCTGACTCACCGGAGCTCCTCCACACGTGATAACTCCCTCCGCTTCTCGGCCAGGACCGTCTGTAGATAAGCCACCCTGTAGACAGTCCATGCACACTATCAACACCCTGCCTCACTTCCTCTCCCGACCCTCATCCCTTTCCATAGCAGCCATGGTCCGAGCACCGATCACCCTCATCCTGGTGGCACAAACTGGCAGATATAACGCAAGGCTGCCCCTCACTGAGCTTCGTCGATTCGCTCGGCCTGTGCGGCAAGCTCGACCACTACTGCTTCGATGACTTCGTTGAACCGGGAAGATTCTGCAACGACAGAGTTTCGACACCGCCATCTCAGAGCTGTTCCGACTCTTAGAGAACTCTATAGACGTATCGCGCAGGTCAGCGCTGTGAATATACGCATCCTCGGCGAGGACCCTTAGGCGATTAGCAGAGTCAAAGGTCACTGTCACGTCGGTATCGGTCATCAACACCAATGTGTGGAAGAAAAACCCAACCTTCGCATGAACCATATGACTACGAGCATTCCTCATCCCCGCTGCTACTATCAAGATGCTACAAAACAACATATCCATAAGTCGGTATGGGATAATGAGCAAGCGAACGCCCCTCGGATACAACAACCCCGTCTAGACTCCACCGGGCCCTATGACGACTAGGTAACACAACAAGGACGATAACCTAACAATCGGTTATCATCTAGTCCACGATCAGTACGATGTTCCGTGGACGCATGCTGACTACTTCCACTATACAAGAAGATTGTCTATTGTGCTGCTACAGCGGGTGGGGCCGGGGGAGGGGCACCCACGGGTTCAGCTTGGGGTGAGCCTGCAGCTGCGTGGGGCATCGTCTTCTGGACAGGCAGGAAGAGCTTGAACTCCGGAGGCAGCTCCTCCTCGCTGACAAGAACGGCAATAGGACCATTGCAAATCTCAACCGAAATACCTGTATAGACGATCCGAGAAGTACACTCTCCTGATTCGGCAATTGGCGTGGAGCTGGATGGCCAGGGTTTCGATGTAATTGGTTCCGTAGGCTCTTCGGGTAAAGTCGGAGAGGTTGAACTGGAGAAGAGATGCCCCCCCCATGCAGATTCGCACAGTAGCTTACTTGAATCTGATTCCACCCCTCGTCGAGTCTCATCGGCATCGTACAGATAAAGGGCTTCACTCGAGTGGTCCTCTGATAGTTGGAGGCTCGGAATCTCCGACGGATGCCCTTATCGTCCAGGACGGCCACTTCAAAGGTGAAGTACTTCTTCAACTGCAAGGAGAAGCTCCAGCCTCACATACTATCGGAAGCCTACGTTTTTAATTATCATCACCAAGAAGGGCAGTTTGATTCCCAGAGTTCTCTTCGGATCAGCCGGGCATCTAATGAAGGTGGTAGCGACGTTGGTGCCCATAATCTCCAACACCTGAAAACGACCATCAAAAGACGTTCGGGAGACCTTCGACTTACACTCGACTGAATGTCGGCATCGGTAAGGCGCTTAATGTGACCATTCCTGACTTGATCGGCCCAGATCTGCAGAGGCTTGCTGCCCACTGAGTACAGCACCGAGAGGAAGCCAGACTGGTAAGTATTCTTGAACATCAGGGAGGTAGGTGGAAGCTGACTAAGAATATAGAGTACGATTTTGAGTTTCCTTTCCGAAAGTGATCGAGACAAACGTTTCGTCGAATCTTGCGCACATCGAAAAATGCACGTTGACTTCGCATCGCTCCGCTCAAAGAGCGCAATTACATCGTCGGGCGCGCGCTATCACTGGCTGAATTTTCCTTGCGACCCTTTTTCCTTTTTCCCTTTTTCTTTCCTTTTTCCTAGGATTATCGGCATCATTGGTTGTCATCACCAGAAATAGTAGAGGTAACTTTCATTGCTGTTGTCACCGCTGGGAGTCTTTGCAATGGTACTCTTTTCAGACTTGAAAAAATTCGTCGTTTTAGTTCAAATCCTTCTGCTGCTCTCCTGTTACATCATAAACTAGATTCACACACTTGTAGGCAACTGTACTTCCATAAGCCTCCTACCCGAGCAATCACAACTGCCAACCAGATCCACTCACGACAAGCCCCTATCGGCATCCCTTCACAAGTGCCAAGGAAAGTAAATTTCAACACACTCTTTATCGGTTCATTTCAAGCGAGTCTTCTGCCCAAAGACTGTCTCTTGTCGAGTCATCGAGGTGCTATTCAACATCCTGGCACGTGCATGCGAACCTGCCGTCCTCTCATATGCATTTTCTGACACCTGTTGCCAGTCATCGTACCCGACCTCATACGCTTCTTTCTACGTTCAAGTTGATTAACCCGCCGAGAGTCAGTAGTCAACCCCCGCGATGAGGTGTTCTTGTTGGCTCCTACTAGAACGATAGGCAACAGTGGATGCTTCGTTACTCTGCTGATGCCCCAGTCCCCGACCCGCATTGTCGGTAGTGAGCCCGATGAACCGCAAAGATCTCCAAGCCCTCTACAACAAAGGGAAGCCCTTAATAGTGCAGACCCGTCATTCGTTTGGTAATGACTTCATGAATTCACTTTGACAAAAGAATTCATCTGACATGTCCAGGGTTGCCAAGCGACGACTAGAGGAACATTTTGAGGTCGACTTGCGCTGTTGGCGTCGCTTCACACTACGTGATGAAGTAGCGCTAGAAGAAGCTTATCAGAATGGCATTCATAAAGATATTCCTGTGGAACAAGGGAGGTGCGACGGACCTAATTTGAATCTTACTAGCATCAACCTAAAGATATTCTTTCTACTGCGAGATACACGGTAAACCTCGAGACCATGACGCTGCGCTGTGTGTACTGGGAGGAGCCCGACTGGCCAGTGATGCGGTCATCGTGGTTCTGGCGGCCGGACCATGGCACCGACCTTGGCATTGAAATCATCAACAACAGCTGGACCAACACTGTGAGACACTTAACCGACCGCTTACGGTCGTACCCCACCACAGGATGCCACGCCAACGGCCCTTCCTCCCCTCCCTGTAGAGCCCTACCTTTGCCCCTTCGGACCGTCCGACTGTGCCCTGCTGGAGGGTCGGCGAGTGTATACTTATGTCGTACATCGCCTCGTATCACTTCAGGAGCCCTTGAGGAAATCCGTGAGGACCTGGAGTCGGGCCCGATTGACTGCGAACTAGAAGATACTCCTCAACACTCAAGTGAGCCAAGCTGGAAAGTCTCCCCGTTAGTCCCTGGTGTTATACAAGATTCGATCGTTCAATTTACTGTGAAGAAGATGAATACTAAATCCGCAAGTTCGAATGCCTCTCCGTCTCCCTCTCCTAAGGAAGCTAATCCCGATGATGTCATTGAGTATGCCCTGTATAATACAGCCAGCAAATTCAAATTGAAAGTAGCCATCGGTTATAGCGCTCCACTGAATGATCAGTGTAGGTCTACCGAGGGTATTCAGTAAAGGAGGAGCCCCCGCCAGACGAGGATATACCAAAGGTCGATTTTTAGGGGTTTACTGCTGCCATTGCAGTGTGGGAAAATGTGCACATGGTCGACTACGTGCGTTGATTACAGAAATTTTAAAAAAATATCATTGGTTTTTGTACACTTATACGCGTGGTAACTCCTATAATTAGTGGAGAAACTCCTAAACTCAGCTGAGGAAAGCAAACATATATTCCAATTTTGGTCTCGGCTCAGGACTCCCCCGTGTGGCTGTGCTTCTTGATACACGGTATAGGGGAGATGCTCTATAACCGTAGACATGTGCCGACGGTCGGGGCCCCGAGGTGGGGCGAAAAAGGTCAGCAACTCAGAGAACCGCTCTCAGATGCCGGTCGCATTGTTGGCGTTACCGGCACCTATTCGGGCAGAAACTACGAGAGGGTTATATGACTGATACCCCTGCAGGAGTCCCCGCTAGAATAGAGGTCAAACCCTTCCGCTCCGCTCGAGAGGGAGACGATTGCGTCGCAGGTTATCCCGATCGAATGGGGTCTTAGTGTCCACGACTCGGCACTCGATACGCGACTTGAAAGTGTTACTCTGACATCCTGTGGGGCGGTGAGGAGGGGGTGGTCTTGCTACTGTGCTTGAACCCACCGACAGGTCCGTACATTTGCTAACTTGGCGATTTCTGATGCATTTTTATACAGCCAGCCAACACGGAGAGAAACCATCCTCAAATACGTCGCTACTAAAGTGAGGAGTATTCGAGCGTTCGTATAAGCGGCTGGCAGATGCAAGAGAAATACCATCTTTTCTGCACGAACAACCCGGGTTTCCATGAGGACGTCCTCTCTGGTCGAAGTGCCGTGTGCATACTTGGACACTCTTTAGGTCAGTTAGTAGTAGTAGTAGTAGTAGTAGTAGTAGTAGTAGTAGTAGTAGTAGTAGTAGTGGTAGTAGTAGTAGTAGTGGTAGTAGTAAGACTGCATGCAGTGGGTCTACCAGGCTCAGTGGTAGCGTTCGACTTGCTCTCACGTCAACTACTGGTCGAACCACCAGAGGATGCTTCCATCGATACGTCAATTGCCACTGCCAAGGAGCCTTCGACCCCTGCGCCAGGGAGCTCAAGCCCTGCTGTAAGCCTAGGATTAGTCGAACTGACATAAGACCAAGTCTTAGGCGGACGAAGAATTCCAGTTGCCCTTCTGTCCACGAGTGTTGTTCCTCCTTGGCTCGCCACTCGGCCTCTTCCTTACCATACGGAGTGAAGTCATGCCCACCGGGGCCCTCCCAACCTGCCGACGAGTATTCAACATCTTCCACCCCAACGACTGTGTGGCGTACCGGCTGGAGCCCCTTGTTGCCCCTGTCCGTCCCTGCTCGTGAGTAGAGGCACCATTGCTGCTGTCCTCAGGAGCTCAATGGAATACCACCGATGTACATACCACACCGAGGGGGCCACCGGCTTCATGTGGCTGTAAGTCGTTGGCACTGTCATTGTAAGGAACTCATCTGCAGGTGAGGCGACTGCATTCTGACGTGGGGTCAGCTTTCAGTAGTGTTGGTAGCACTATCTCGAGTTGGTTCGGACAGCCAACACAAGAACAGGTAAGGGAACACATCGTCGAGGGTCGCCTTGTAACATCCAGGTGGCCGAACAACACCGAAAAAGCAAGATAGAGTCGGCCCTGAAAGACTCCATCCCTTCGGTCAAACTCAACCAAGGTATGCCATTCATTATCGTCTTCATCTCACTCTTGACCAGGCCGCCGCATCGACTGGGTTATCCAGGAGTCGGTGACCGAGGCTGCCTCTGAGCTCTGGTCGGCATTCGGGAGCCATTTTTCGTATTGGAGACATGAAGACGTGGTTTCCTTCGTCGTAGCCCAGTTGGTGTGGTGCGATAAGGATGATAAGCAATGGCGTGATAAAAAGGATAATTTCTTCTGACTACATTGGTCAACTCTTGTGTACTGAGTACGCTATTGGAAAATGAGGATCCACCCGAAATGCTACCAAGGTAGATGACAACTTTTTTCCATTCTACCTGCCTCACCCGCCGCAGAGGAAATTATATCCAAATTGAGTGAAGACTACTTTTCCCTTACGGCCTCAGCGGTTGGGCTCATTCTTCTTCGGTCAGGGAATAGGGTGACCTCTTCAACTGCACATGCGTGCGATTCCCCCACGGTCTCGGGTGTTGTACCTCGTCATACAACTGTATCGTCCAAAACGTACCCAGTTAGTGTCTTTCGTTCGTTCTTGTGAAAACCAAGCCCCGTATTATTGAGCTCAGTATCGAACTGCATCGAATACTGTTTGTTCCATCGGTCCTTTAATACCACACCACTTTCACTACGCAATACAGATGCTACTACTTAAGACACGTAGTTGACGAGTTAAACATGCACACTTGGAAAAGTACCAAAAAACAGCTTCAATTGACTCAGAAGGTATCCTCCTGTGCCTTCGCCTTTCTACTCCTCCACTTCAAAGCCTCGAGGAATGCATCCGGGTTGTTGTGCGGATCGAACTGCCATATATGTTCCGGCTTGACGTCCTCCGCTGTAAAGCACTTCATCTTCTCAAGACCACACGCACCGAAACACTGACTTGCGCCCAAGATACCGTTCACCACTCGATTCACAGTCCGAGGCAGACGAGTCCCGTTCGAGAGTAGTTCAATTCCAACCAAGCCGATGACTGGTCGAACCACCCACTGTAGAGCTAACGTGAATACGTACCACAGGTGACCAAATGCTTGTGGATAGAGCAATCCTACGATGGTCAAAACGACCAGGATTGACATCAACTTTAGTGTTTCGGAATAGTCGCTCTCCCACTGCACAATACGCGTGTACTCGGTGGTGATTCTGATCCATTTCGACATCTTCCTCTGGAGGAATCTTACTCCCTCCTGAGTATTCTTCGGTGCAAACTTCGAGCAGAAGAAGAGGAAGCCCAACCCCTTGGAGCCTTGAAACTCCGGCAGAGGGTCGGCATTGTCGTCAACATCCTCCACCTCATCATCAGTCGAATCCTCAGATTCAGTGGCGGACCAATCTTCACACTGGTCGCCCAAACCAACGACATTGGCAGTCCCACGCCCCAAGGCAATGCCAGTGTTCACCGCCCCCGCGCCAACTGCCGCTACCTACGGACAACAAAAGAGGCGGAGCGAAGCAGATGATTTCCCTACAGCTCCTGCAACACCACCTACTGTGCCTCTAACCAGACCAGTGATGCCAAGAGCCGTACCTAGAGGAAAGTGTGTATTCCTGGAATAATAGGAGGGCACACCTTTAATGAGGCCCTTGGCACCATCCTGTTGGAGGCCTCGTACTGGACTGGCAAACACACCAACAACGCCCGAGGTGATCTTCCCACCCGCCTGAGGTCAACCCTATGAGGTTCATCGACGTGCCTTTATTGACCTTCGTAAAGCCGTGTACAGCTCCCGTGGCGAGATTGCGATGTTTCCTATTCTGTTTGAGGATGTTCTTTTGCCTTTTCTTCTCTTTCAAGCCAGCCGGCTTGGTGAACCCAGGCTGTTCATAAAGGTCATCGATAACACCTACCACCCAGGATCTGTATCAAGTTTTGGAGACCATGACTAGCAGCATCACGTCGACTCGTCCTTATCTTTTTCTTTTTCTCTGCCACTATCGTTGGGAGCGTCTAAGGCAGCTACTACTACTACCTCCATGAGTACCTCTCGGCCTCACCTCACTGAGGGCCTGCACCATCGCGGCGGCCTCTGCCTGTCCACCTCCCCTATTGCCCGCCAGGCACCCCAGCCTGCCCCGGGCCTTAGTGCGGTAGTAGCTCCTGAATGAAAGCAAGTGACGCGTACCCTTCGTAAGGTACTGTCGTACTTGGTAAGAATAGCGACGAGTAAGAGCGTCACCATGCCGAACCACCGGTCCCCCGGCAGCCAACGACAGAGGGCTAGCCAGATCAGCATGGGGACGACGGACACTCTGAAGAGGAAGGGCCATACCCTCGGGACCATCAGGATAGGCATACCTCAGACACGTGGGGTCCCATCGGCCGACTTTCTTAAAATCAAAGAAGGCGCTGATGTGAGATGCATGATCACCCGGTAAGACCATACCCTGCCTCACTCCCGTAAGCCCTTATCCCACAACAGTTCCTTGATCCTCATCGCAGAGGTATACACATTAGCGGGGTTGTATCTGATGCCATTCGCAGTTCTCTTGTATCAAGACTATGCTACTTCGGGAGGTGCCTCAGCTTCTCTGGTGGTGTGGCGAAGTTGGCACAAATCTGATCGATTTTCGAGAGGTAGTCGACACGTATCGACAACTTGATCCTCCCACAATACAGTCCATCTGAGCAGCAGCCTCAATGACAGAGACAGCCGGCCCCCGAGGTATATGACCATATGCCTCGCTGGGTTCAAGGTGGAACCAGCCCTGAACGGTGTGGCCAGGGACGGCCTTGCGTATCGGTAGGAGCACCTACAGTGGGGGTGCCCAAGACCGGGAGGGCCAGCCGCTCACTTCCCCAAGGACCTCATCTTCTCCCAACATGTTCAAGGCCGATCGTCTCAACATTACTCTGACTCGTAGGACAGTGACAGGATGGTAAACGTGCAATACGAATGCTTCATTGCAGAGGTAGCCCTCAAGGGACTTCTTGTATCGCATCAGTCGGGCCGTTCGACCAGCCCTGGATAGACGCATCACTACCATGGGGTAGAACCCGCCCGACCACCACTACTACCTGCGCCTCCTCCCACCTGAGCATGCCATGTGGAGTAGCAGGTACGGTCTGACTCCACCCAAGATGCCCCGGGGAACCCCCTTCAGAGAGAAAGCCTAATCGACTTCAATCTCCACCGTCGTCGGGGTTAGTCACGCCACTACGTTGAGTGTTATAGCCCCACATGGTCCGTTCTCTTCGAATACCGAAGCGGGTTTCCTAGGTCCTAGTATTGCCGTAAGCCTGTTGAAGTCTCTCTCCCCTGGCTCTAGCCCATCGAAAGTAGAGGTATAGTGATGTACATGGGTCAACCACAATCGTTTGGTGTCAAAAGCAGAGGAAGGTGGAGGGCTGGCGGCAGCATCTACAATAACATGTTGGGTTGTTTCGGACGAGGGATCAGTACTCAGCCGAGCCTGGAAGTTCTGCCGGGTGTCCACTTCCCACTGAATCGTCTCTGGAGGGTTGGTGATGGTAAGAGGGTCGTCGACCTCCGGCGGGGTTGGTGGTCTTTCGCCCCTTTGGGCCTTTTTCTTGCCAAATAGAAACCTCTTTTCGGGTCTATCTTCATCATGCTTCTCTTTCCAATCACCAAGCCAATCTTTCAACGCCTTGCCACGTTTGATGTTCCCTATCAGAAACTTTACGGCTAGTCGACATGCCCATAAGGGGGGAAACTCTACCCCCAATATAAGTCAAAACTTCCTTAATCTCACCTTTAGCGACGGCGGCTTCCACAACGTCTATTTCGACCGCCTCTGGGGAGGGCTGGGTAGCCATGGTAAATGAGGCGGAGCGAAGCAGTCCTACTAGAGGCAAGCTGCTGGATTGATGAACTCAAGTGTGGTAGTAGGAAAGGGAGGAGATGTGGACTGCTGCTGCTGGTGGTGGTAGTGGCCTTCACTGGATTTTGAGGACCTCTATCTCGAAATTCAAGGTACCGTTGGGAGGGATGCCCCAAGCTGACAGGAGGGGGCTTTCGGAAGGCCACAGGAGAAGGCTTACCAGGGAAGCCCTGGGCACCATAGCCCTCATTGGCCGGTATGACCAACTGCCTTACCTCACCTAGTTGCATACCCAAGACCTGCTAGTATAGTAGAGAGGGAGACGACCAACTGAGCAGGGCCACCTACCCCTTGGTCCCAACCGGTGATGACTTTGCCCATACCACTCTGGTAAGTGAAGGGCTGCTGACCTGATGACCAAGTACGATTAGCCTACTCGACGACCCTTACCCGCGTCCTTGGTGGACCAGAATTTCTTGCCAGTCTCCTGGACACTACCAGTAGCATGCACGGTGACCTGAGGGTATGGATGGACGATGATAGGGTTGAGTAGTAGTTGTACAGTATTGCCCTTTTGGACCGTGGCACCAGAGCCAGCCTTGAGGATGTTGTAGACAGTCTTATATCCCGGGATGGGCTGCATGATTCAAAATAAATTAATCGTTATACTGCGAGGTATGAGACTGATGGGTTCGCAGAAAATCGATTACTAGGGCGTGCGCGATATACCTAAAGTTCTTGTGGGATGTGAACTCAGTATAATGTCCCGTTCAACGAGAGGTACACCACTGATGGACGGTTGTGATCCTTCCCGCAAAATCTATTCCGTCAATGGAGTGATCTAGATGCCCCGAAGGGCTTGTCAAGGTTGGCGTCGACTTTGGATATACCGACGGCGGGCAGGAGTTGCTATTGGAGGGTTTGTGGGAGCAGAGGGTGAGATAAAAGAGGATCTCTTCGGACAGTACAGGTGGTGACGAGGCCTATATAGATTCGTTATGTGGGATGTAGTATGCTAGGATTGAACCTGGATCGTTTGATTGAAGGATTGACAAGCACGTCGCAGAACCAATGTGCCAATTGGTCACATAGGTTGTGGCCTATGGTGGTGGAGTTGTCACGGCTCTCCCCTGCACCCATGACATCCTCCTCCCGTCGCCTCTGATGGTCGAGTCTGGATAGCCGTCAATCTAGGATGTTCACTATGCGAGTTGAGGATGATGATAACTGACCACACCCTGTACCCTGCCACTGCACGGCCTTATAACCGGAAATAGAGGTTTCACACTGCGTTGTCGTCGGTGTTTGAATATCGGGGCGGCGGGGATGGTTTTACACTTTTTCTATCAGTTTCTTCTTCTTCAACTCTTCTACGTCTTCCCCTCTTACTATGGCTGACGGCTGGCCCGCAAGTGCAGTGTTCAACTCCCAAGCCCCGGGATACGCCTTCGATGATATCATCCTAATGCCGGGCCATATCTCCTTTGGTGTGGAGACTGTTGAGCTTGCTGGTCGCATCTCTAAGGATATCACTGTAGGCTGCCATCATGGGGGTAATTTCGTGGCGCGTGACGGTTGTCTGGACCTCAGCTCCGAACTCCCATCATCAGCAGTCCTATGGATACCGTGACTGAGGCTAAGATGGCGATCGCCATGGCTCTTCTTGGGTAGGGTATAGTTCTCTTAGGTAGGGGTATATCCTCCTCCTTTTAGGGGTATGGGCGTCATCCACGGTAATATGACCACAGATGCACAAGTCCAGGAGATCCTCAAGGTGCCCTCCCCCCTCGACTGCCGGGTGCACGGGGCCTTACTTTGGGTTTCAGGTCAAGCGCTATGAGAACGGCTTCATTATGGATCCCTATGTGCTCGGGCCTAACAATACTGTGGCGGATGTTGACGAGATCAGGAGGGTAATTTCGTGGCGCAGTGACGGTTTGTCCCAGCTGGAGAGTGATCACCTTCTTATAGGTAGAGGGTTTCTCCTCTGTCCCGATCACCCAAAACGGTCGGATGGGCGGCAAGCTGTTGGGGATAGTGACTAGTCGCGATATTGATTTCGTGGATGACCGTCAGACTTTGCTGAAGGACGTCATGACTCAAGCCAAGGACTTGGTAGGGAGAGGTCTATTGGTAGGAGGGGTAGTTGAGAATTGTAGGTGGTCGGAAGTGAACCCATCTCGTTGAATGAGGCGAATTCGAAGCTGCAAGATGCGAAGGTTGGTAAGCTGCCCATCATCAACAGTGATTGGGAACTGGTGGCACTCATCTCAAGGGAGGACTTGAAAAAGAATAAGTAATTTCATGGCGCGCGGTCACGTAAAAGTGATGGTTGTTGTCAGGGACTACCCGAACGCGTCCAAGGATAAGAATAAGCAGTTGATTGTTGGTGCTGCTGTACCGGTAGGTTCTTGTCGGTCGTCCTTTTCAAGAGGATCTGCCGCCCCCCCCCTGTAGATCCTCCCTAACATGGAACTATCATCCCTCGAGGAGAGGTGTCGCCTATTGATAGAGGCCGGCGTGGACCTCCTCGTCCTCGACTCACCCGATGGGGACTCCTCTGTACAAGTGGAGTTGCTGAAGTGTTTGAGGGCCAAGTAAAGCTGTAATAAATTGTCATCTCATACCACTCCTTCCTCAACAGGCACGAGAATGTGAATATTATGGCTGGCAACGTGGTGTCGGTCAGACAGGCCAAGAGCCTTATCGATGCTGGTAGGGATGGCCCTTCCCCCTCTTCCCCCCTCTACCCTACTCTTTAGGTGCCGACTCCCTCCGTGTGGGCATGGGATCCTCCTCTGTTGGTATTGGAGCGAGCATCACCGCGGTCGGCCGTGCCCAGGCTAGTGCCGTGTACCGCGTCGGCAAGTTTGCCCGTGATTATGCTAATGTAAGCTGATCTAACTTCATGAGGAAGGGGGGATGGTGGTGATGGTTTAGGTGCCGGTGGTAGCGGATGGGGGTATACAGAACTCGGGGCACATTATGAAGGCCCTTAGTTTGGGGGCTAGTGCGGCTATGATGGGAAGTGGCTTGGCTGCTACCGATGAGGCCCCAGGTGGGGGATGGGCGCCATGTGTCTGCGTGCAGATGTGATACGTGATTGCAGGTGATTATTATTATTCTGATGGAGTTCGTGTGAAGACCTACAGGGGGATGCACTCTTTCAATGCTGTTCGCGAATGTTTCACGAATGCTGGAAAGGATGTTAGCCGGTTGGATAGACCCTTCGCCGCTCAAGGTAGAGGTCTCAGGTTCGATCCCCACAGCTGTCATTTTTCCATCGGCAGGTGTGCAAGCAGCTGTTGTTGACAAGGGCTCGGTGAACTCTCTCGTCCCTTACCTCATCCAAGGCTGCCGCCATGGCTTCCAGGATCTCGGGGTCCAGTCGGTCGCTCAGCTGCATCAACAGCTCGATGATGGTACCGTAAATCCGCCAAGTCACAGCTCACCCCGTCACTTCCTTCAGGCTTCCTCCGTATGGAAGTCCGGTCGGGCTCGGCTATCAAAGAAGGAGGAGTCCACGACCTAGTCCGCCTCCCTGCGGGTGCTGGTGCTGGCATGGGCCGCCGTGGACAGGGCAGGAACTGATCTTCATCATCATTATCATTGTTGCTGCTGCTGCTTTCCATAACTACGTCTCAAGACACTAGTATAGGACCCTTGTGTGTGGATCAATAGGAGAGGGAGGGGGTGTTGGGGAAGGCAGTTGAGTTGGACATGCCACGAGGATTGGGCGCGGCATCACGGCAGCATGCTGGCTCGACAGGAGTAGTAGCAGTAGGGAATCGGGCAGGAGGCCGTAGTGGAAGCTATGACCCTGATGATGGTAGCAGGAGGTGGAGTGGTGATGGCCTCATCCATCGCCTTAGGGATGACGCCCTTGGTGTGGGAGAGCGCTATGGTCCCTCTATACGAGGAGTATATTGACGTTTGCTGTAGTATGTACTTTGATGGTGGCTCGTCCCAGGGGGTCACTGTAGATGGCCTGAGGGGATACTTTAGGTAAGGACCTAGGCCTGGTGCTAGGGGGTGGTATTGTCCATGTTAGGAGGTTGATCGAAAGAGAGCGCGCGCGCCCAGCCAAGCCGGCTCCGCTCGAGGCCATTCCTAAGGAGGCTATGACGAAGGAAGGGGGTACTGGTATAGTGGATGGAGAGGTGAGGAAGGAGACCCTACTGGCTGAGGTGGAGTCGTGCACTGGAGGGCTGCTCACGTCTAGGTTGAGGAAACGCCAGGCTATTGATCTGTAAGGATGGGGGGGTTGCCCTAGGGGGTCAGTGTCGTTGTAGATGGGGTCCTCTCGATGCCGCATTGTTCCTGGCTGGCTTGTCACGGTATGGTCGTAATTGGCATAGGATTGGGAACCTCACTGAGGGGAGGAAAGATGCGAAGGATGTTGCTGATATGTGCGCTGGTCTTTACTGGGCTATTTCGCGCGCGGCACGAAATTGTCAGGTATTATTGTGCCTTGAAGTCGGCGAAAAAGACGAAGTCGTTGTGGAAGCGGTATGCGTGTATTCGCGACACGACGGCAGGGGCTCCTCCCAATCGGTCTATATCCTCTTGATTTCGTCGACCTCCTCCAGAGTTGAGTTGGCGCACAGGGAAGGATATGTCTCAAGTAGTCTCAGCCTTGTGATGGATTTCTCACCGGCCCGACCAGATCTCTCGTCTCTGGTGAGCTGCCGTACCCTGGGTGCAGCTACTGAGTATTCCTCTACGACAGGTTGACCGCAGTTCAGGGGAGTCTGTAGGGATGGATAACCATCATGGCAGAGACTATGGGGGAGGGGTGGGTGATGGAGGTTCACTAGGAGGAGGATTGCTTCCTTTCTGGCAGACCTCTGGTGGAGGGGTAAAGGGCATATCCCTAACCCCTCAGGGAGGGGGGTCTTCGGAGGGTTGGGGTAGTAGTAGCAGCAAGAGGCGTAGTCCACTACTGGGGGAGTCCCCGAGTAGTCCGATGAACATGTCAATAGTGGTGAAGTGTAGAATGATGATGGAGGAGATGTCGGTAGAGTTGCAGGAGATGAAGGATTCTAAGTGAGGACGGCTGAGGGCTTCGACTACTAAGGACTCGAATTTTCCGTGATTTTTCCACATTTTGGCCTCAGAAAGGACTCGGAATTTTTCCGTAATTTTCTTTCATATTTTCGTCTTGAAAATGTCTGTGAAGAAATTAGTGATTTTTGGTTGACAGGTTGAATAGTGAGGATTCGTGAGGTCCCTCATCGACCTCAGGTGCGAGCTAGAGAGGAAGGTCAGAGCAATGGAGATAGAGTGTGCTAATCTACGAGAGGACTATCAGAAGGAGTTCCATCGGCGACGAGAACTACAGAGCGAATTACAAGAAGCAGAGATAGTCAAGGGGGATCTCGAGGTGAAGATGTCGCGTTTGGCATGCAGGCGACCCGGGTTCTATTCCCTCATTCGTCAGTTTTTCCACTGAGGTTGCTCTTCTACGCTTGTTCTCTCAGGCCCAGAACGCTTCTCTCCATCGTAAACTACAGCTCGTCGAATCGAGAGCATCGGAGAACGAAAAGCAATGCGAAGAGGTCAGGGAAGAGCTGAAGGAAGTCACCGCTAGGTTGGGGGGGGCGGCTGCTGCTGCTGCTGCTGCTGACCTTGGGGGTTGATAGTGCATGGTAGGCTATCGGAGGCGACTACGGCTAAGTCGCGGGCCGAGGAGGAGATAAGGGCCTTGAAGAAAGAACTGTGTGAAACGGGAGATCGCCTAGTGGAAATTGAGGAGGTCCGCTGCAAGGACCTGGTAGTAGTGGTGGATTGCCGTTGAGGAAATGCAAGAGTGCAAGATTTAGGAAGACTACCGAGGGCAGTTGATGGAGGCAGAGCGGCAATGGCGAGAAGAACTAGATGCGAAGTATGAGGAGATTGCTCAGTTGACGGACACTTTGAGTGAGACGACTGATGCTCTCGAGGCCCAGCGGGTGGAAAACGGTAGGGGTGGGGGAGGGGGAGGGGGGGATGTTGTTGCTGGCAGAGGTGCTTACGGAGAGGAAGGGCAGGGATGATGATGAGTATGCGAATGAGGCTAGGCAGTTACAACACCATATAAGGATCCTCGAGGGGGAGGTAGGAGCAGTACACTGGGGGGAGGGAGGGGGGGAGGAGTCCATGGTAGTTGAAATCATCATCGCAGTCGGCAAGGCTTGTGGCGGAGAACGAGAGGGATAATGCGGTGTTTGCTAGGGAGCAGGTGGGTGCGCACGGAGAAGGATATTTTATATGTAATACTGGGGTCGTCAGGCGTTGGAGGTTGAGGCTAGTCTGAGGAAGGAGTTTAATGATAAGTTGGGGCAACAGAAGGAGAAGTACAAGCGGAAGGTGTGTTGGAGGGGTGAGGGTGGCGACTATGGTGGTGGTCAGATACACGAATTGGAGGAGGAGTTGCGGAAAAGGAAGGAATATGAGGCTCGCATTAAGGAGCTGCTCAAGACTGAGGTGCGTATCTTAGGTTCATCATGCTTGGATACGGATTAGGTCCGATGGAGATCTGCTTGTCTTTAGACTAGCCTCCTCCGCCGTATGAACGATGCGAAGGCCCTCTCGGAGGACCCCTGCGTTGTCGTCACCGCCAGCAGCCCTCGGTGTCACCATGGTCATCGATTCCGAGACTGTTGCATTCATCGCCAGGGTGTTGTCGAAGTGTAATAGTGTTATGCAGTTAGCGCTCGCCCTGGTGATCGATTTGGGTTAGATCTCCTCGGCCTCGTTCGCCGACCTGTCTAGCAGTGGTAGAGGAGTGTCCGAATGCATCGGCCGCCCGGTATGTGGAGGAGCAGATGAGGAAGGTTGAGAGGAGAATTCTATTGGGTGACGAAAGCCTTTGGAGTGATCCTCTTGAGAGGTTGTTGGTAGGTTTGAAGCACCGTAGGGCGAGGAGTAGTAGTCGTGGTGGTGGACGATATGACTCATCAGGGAGGGGCCGACTACAGAAAGAATGTTCATGTTAATTCAACATCATCGTGGCTGCCATATTTTGTATGCTACTATTCAAGGGTGGTGTTGGCGGGAAAGAATTTTTTTCATTTTCCAGCAGTTTAAATGCCCTCGGAAAATTGTGAGAAGTCGCCGACGACGTTGGCCTATAAGGCCTCTTACGCCGTGTTAGGAGCGCTCTTTGTGGTCACCAACTTTGTTATAATCCCAAGCAACCTGCAGATGATATTGTAGGGGTATCTTAGGTTCATGCGAGAAAGATTCAGATTAGGTCCTCTGTAGGTACACGGCTCCTATTATGTGTATTGCTTGCCATCAAAGCCTCAAACTTAACAACACCAGTAAGAACAACAACATTTTCATCGAGATTTGACTTATAGATGCTGATGGGAAGAAGGAGGATATTGATTCCGTGTCACACAAGGATGCGATGATGTTCCCTGTTGTCGGGAGTGTAGCTCTGCTCAGTCTGTAAGTGGCGACTTCATGTGGACGTTAATTGCATTGGCGTCCCGGTAGGTATTTAGCGTATAAGCTGGTGTCTCCATATTTGATGAACCTGCTCCTCACCGGCTACTTGGGGATGTTGGGTAGCTCGGATTAATCACATGTCGCCGATTTTGTGTTAGGCGTGGGGGCTCTGGCGGAGACGGTGAAGCCTCTTGTGGACAGTTGCCTTCCAGAGGATGTCACTAAAAACAGGTATGTCGACGATCTCAAACTGTCAAGTAGGGTTTGACATGAAATGGATCAATGAGCGTTCTTTATAATACTTTACTTAACGATTATATATACCAATGAATATGTGGACGTCCTTTCTTTCGCACGGTTGGCGATGTGCTATGATGAGCGCCAGAGCTTTAAGACGAAGAGGCGGAGCTCAGATTACCCGAAACAGTCGCGGGTTCGATTCCCGGTACTGCTGTTTTGTTAATATTCACGGCGTGCAACAGTGTTGGCCACTACACGATACAGGGTGGTGATGAGGGTATTTTCTAATGGTACATGCACTAAGCTCTTCCGAACGGTATGTGCCTCGAGAGATCCCCTGGTGTAGTCGTAGGGAAATAGTTAAAACGAACTCGAACATGTGTGAATTCGATAAGTGAATTCGGAAAATGTGCGCCATTTTCCGAGATCAATGAAAGTCGATCTGAAACATATATTGCACTAACACTGTAAGTGTTGCTATGTTATCTGATGAAAGTAACATTTCGAGACTGTGATAGCGACAAGTTGTTCGGACTACAATACGCACATTCTTCACACTTGCATATCAAAACCCAGACTTGGTAGTTTCAAGTGCGTCTCATCAGCGATGATAGCCCCCCCACCACCACGTGTCAGATTTCACATCCGCTTCACGATGCCGGCTTTACTGATGAAAGTGTTCGCGGAGAAGGCCGATGAAGATCCGAACGTCGAGCTCAATTTCAGCTATTCCCATGTAGGGTGTCCTGAGGATACTATCCTCATTCGTATCTTACCCACTTGAACCTAAGATACTCGTCTATGGAATATCAGCAGTCCTGGGGGGTTATTTTGCTTGGACTAAGCAGTTCACCATCCATAACATGTTTGGTACGCCCGTAGTGGTCCCGCATGGTCAGCCGTTCGCCTCAGGAGTTTCCTTTTGCATTCAAGCGATTCGTCTAATCTCCCTCCACAAGTTCTCGGTCGCCTTCATCCTCCTCGCTGGTTTATTTGTTTACGACATTTTCTGGGTAGGGCGTTGTGTGGTTGAGGATGTCGTGACTATTGTTGTTGTAGGTGTTCGGCACTGAAGTGATGGTGTTCGTGGCGAAGTCATTCGATGCACCTGCGAAGATAATCTTCCCTCTCTCATTTGATCCGTGGAAGCAGGGAATTCTCGGTCTCGGCGACATCGTCGTACCGGGTATATTCATAAGTCTCAATATGAGGTCACCTTCGTATTGGGTTATTGACCTAATGATTTTATCATCGGCAGGTTCGATTATCATCAGGATCAAGTGAAGAATAAAAGGCCAGCTGAAAGGGATGTGGACATACATCGTCCTTTCCCGAAGCCGTACGCATCACATTATTGTGTTGTTGATTGCATCACTGTAGATACTACCACAACGTATTGATCGCCTACCTCCTGGGCCTCCTCACCACGGGCATCATCATGCAGGTGAGTCTGTTGCTATTCTTCGCATGTATGAAATGTTGTTCGTAGGTTTTCAACGCGGCCCAGCCAGCTTTACTCTACCTCGTTCCTTTTACTGTAGTCGCTGCCTTATCGACGGCATACAGTCGAGGTCGGTGGGAGGCTGATTTCCCTCTCAAAGAGTTGTTGGTGTTCAGGTGAATTGAAAGATATGATGGAGTACACAGAGGGGGAGGAGAAGCAAGAGGAAGAGAGGAAAAAGGAAAAGTGAATTTTTTCGACCTGCTTGATGGCAGTTCGCGATTTTCTTGTTTTTTGAAGAAATCACTCACCTGTTGCGTTTGGTCGCAAGATGAATGTCGACTATTACAACGCTGTACCCTACGTGGCGGGGAAATTCCAGGGCTTGTGGCTGAGTTCACCCAAGCACGAGAAAGGGCCATCGCTCCACATTGCCACTTGCATTAGCACTGGTGCTTCGAAAAAGCGTGCATTCCAACCTTTGGTGACTGCGAGACATGTGCGACAGTTGAGTCTGCTGCTAGGCTTGGCGGTTCTCTCGAAAGCATACGGACGGTCGCCTCCATTTAGACTCAATACTGTTGATGATTCTGTCATACATTCGATGGGAAAAGCTCATTCAACTGCCGTCGGCGAACTTATTAAGGGATTATTCCCAGTCGACGGCGATCTCAACTCAGATAACACAACATCCACAAATCGGGAGACACAGGGGTTGGGGTAGATCAACCGAATCATCAGGAACTCTTCTCGCTCTCACTTGGTGACACCAACGGTGACTCTGTGAAATCTCCGCTGTCGATGCCTGGTTTACTACCTGATACCGACAATCCATCGAGGATCGAACTAAACTACGGGTCACTCAGAAAGGTTGCGGTCATTGATTTGGTTCCCACCAGTAGAAGCAGTCGTCCCATCAGTCGTAGAGGCTGCACGACGCAGTGCTGATCTTCGGTAGAGTACAACCCCACCTAAAGTTGTGGAAATGAAGACCAATAGGAAGGCTCACGATGGCTGTACCGATGATCATTCTGAGGAGGACTGACAGGACCAGTACCCAGCATACGTTGGATTGGAGATGCTCAGGAGATGCTATTGCCTGGCCGAATACCCACAGACCCGCAGCGTTGCCCATCTGAGAGGGAACTCGTCGGTGGGCAGCGAGAGTCGACCCATGACTCACCGTGAACACAGCCAAGAGATTGGCTATAAACTTCCCTCGTTGATTCGCTGGGAGGACCTGTCATGGATGAGGGCAGACACAACTCCAACTGTTCCTACCATTTGCTGGAGAGAGTTGAAGAATATCGTAAACTGATTGTTGGCTGCAATGACCAACACCCAGAGGGTCGACAACAGTACAGCGTAGGCGGTGCCAGTGGGGAAGAGTGGATAGACCTAAGGGGAAGGAGGTGGATTCACGAGGTCACCGAGGAGATCGATAAAAGGCGGCGACATTCCACGGTTCCCAATAGGTGCGGACAACAATAACGAGAAGAGCTGACCATGACGCAGAAGATTGAGAGCATCCCCGTGGTGATCTGTGCAGTGATACCCGATACCAGACCTGTGAAGGCAGCAAATCGATGGTGACACTATTAAGCGGTCATTACCAGCGTATGGATCGCTACTGAAGAGGAAGGCGCTGGCGTTGGACAGAATTGGGCCGATCACGCCGCCCAACGACACCTAAAATAGTACACTCAGTTGAGCCTTAAGAGACGACTACAGTGCACCCACTACGCAAACTGTGTTTGATTTTTTGGAGTGGATGATGCTGGACCAATATCGTTCTCTCGAAAATTCCGAAGGCGTGAATCACGCCACGCTGGTAAATAGGATGCCAGACCACGTCACGTGATCTGGCATCATATTTTCCAGCCTGCCATTTCTAATCAATTGCCGTTTACAATGGACACTCCAAGCATCGTAGGTATACCCGCCGACCCACCAGGCTTGCTAAACTCCTCCAGTTCACAGGATCCATCTGCCTCAACATCACCGGTATAGCTGCTGTTTGGAATGGATAAACGAACACGTTGGTGAGGAGCGTATTGAGAACAAGTACCTGAGAGTAGCCTTCCACAATGCGTCAGCATATCGCGCGCGCCCTAGTGATCGATATGATAGAACGCTCGAGAGTTGAACTCACTCCGAGTCTGGGATCTCCCAAGGACTTCACTCCCTCAAACAACTGCCTCAGAAGGCCTGGCCTTTGGCCTCCCATCTCTTTGCTGCTTCCACTGGGAGATTCTAATACGCGTAAGGTGGTGCAAGGGTGATAGTGCCGACTTACCGTCCACTTGCACTGACGATTTCACTGTCACTACGAGAAGGTAGAAAGCAATACTGACATAGACTGATGCCGAAAAACCAAAGTACCTAAGGTTGATATAAATGATGCCTCTCCCGGGAAATTTTACATCATGAAAAATCCAACAGCGAACGGTGTGAGGTAGCGGCCTATCTTATCACCAGTCAGCTCGAACGAGTTCACCATAGGGAGCTCCGAGCGGGACCGGACGACCTGGGAGGAGGCGTTGAGGAAATGCAAGATGAGCAAGATTTGCCAAGTTGCCTTACTAATGGTGGTAGACTTTTGCCGATGGGACCCGAGAATGCCATGACTACTCCGAGGGCGATGTTGGCTACTGTTAAGAACTGTAGAACATTCTGCGAACCTAAACCGAGGGAAAGAATCGACCCGGCGACCTACAGCGTGGGAGTCTAACACATTGCCCACTACACCATGTGAGACACGCTCACCTGTCCAAATAGTCATCACCATGAGCGCACAGAAAACATCTGTTAAAACCTGTTAAAAGAGGTAGGTAACACAAGCGAATCCAACGAAGTGTGATATTACATAAACCTTTTTCGGCGGAGCGTTGTCCGTTATCACACCGGACGTCTGAGCTGAAAGTGTGCCTATAAGAAAGAATCTTTCCAGCGCGTTCACCCTCAAGATTCATCTCACGTGTGAGGTTCTGCCAGATCTGGGAATGGGCATATCTGCGAGGTCCTACCATATCAAGCGTCTCGTAACGCACCGCCGTCGCTGAAAAGATGATGATGCTAGTTGAAGCCATGCCGTCCCTCCTACTTATAAAGGTGTGAGCACATCTCGAGAGGAACTGGGCCAGGACAAACCTACGAGCGTTGGAGCTGATGACCGGAGCCTCTGAACTCGACGGCGGTGGTGAGGCTTTCATGGTGGATGAACAACAACAAACACCACCTTATTTTTGATGACAACAACTTACTAACACAAAGAGTAGGGAGTAAGATACTCAGCATGGGTGGAATGATGATAGCACCTGAAGGTGTCGTCGCTGGCAGTACGGTTTGGATGGACTTCCTCTTCCCCTCAGTCACCTCACAATGTGGTGAAGCGTTTGACCCCCTACGATACTACCTCCGTAGCCTCATTAGCCTTAACGTTATACCACACCTCCTCCTCCTCCTCCTCTACTGCCTACTCTCAACATCCTCCCCATTCCCCTCCCCCACAGGTCTCGGCGGCTTCAAGTTCACCGACACTTCAACAGCATCTCTTCCCTCAACCGTAGTGTTTGCTATGGTGACGACCACATAAGGCACGGAGAGGTACTCCCATAGGGCGGACGCACCGTCACTGGGTACTATATCTCACAGGTAATACCTTGCGATGAGCAATACCTAACAAGCCTATTGAGTACGACATCCTACAAGTCTAAGGAAGTACTAGAGTGTCCATCTGTGGTAAGGGATGACGCCAATAACTATACTGTTACTATACTCATGATGATACAAGTACATCGGCTATACATCAGAATAGGCGGCAAGGACGGCGGCTTACCCTGAAAGCCACACCTTCTCATGTTTCGCTTGAAGGAGCAGCAGTCCTCCCAACGCCTCCCAACGACCCAAGCTCGTCCAGAAAATCCCTACACAGTCCCCGACTCAGCGTCGTTCCACACGATATATTCAACTCCGATCGGCTTCGCTCCGCCACCAGAGCTCCACAAGCCACGACTTAGTCGGCAGCCCTCAAAAACCCTCTCAGTCTCCAGCAGTTGCAAAGACAATGTTGGCTATGGACATACCACTCCGGACACACTTCTCATACCCCTCCAGCATCCTAGTACGATTGTCGCCGGTCCGAGACAAGGCAGAGTATAGCAAGCCGACCCTTATCGACTCTACCGATACCAACTCGTATCTCCCCAACTATATTACAGTAGTCATTGGCAGTGAAATATTCCTCGAAGCTTCGCTCCGCTATTTTACGATGATATTTCCATATCGTCCACCTGGGGGCATAATCCAACTAAAGACTACCTCAGCCGAATTTTCCCGAGAAGAATTTGATGATGGCTACTCTAGTATCCAACTCTCGATAACAGTACAGCATACACAACGTTGTGAAGTTGGCGTTTGGAGCCATTGCAGCCATTGAGATCATGCAGTAGAATACGACGACAGGAGAGCCGCATCGCAGGTGAGAGCAGCGTAGTAGCGCCCTTGACCTTACAGCTGATACCCACATGACTATCATCACCTCTCCATAGACTACCTTCAGCGCTCCACCATCATCACTTCGCCGAGTCATCTCGGCGACGTCCATCAAGAGGAGCTAGCTCCAAAGAAAGGTACTCCAGCGTCTGAGATCCATCATGAGACCAGTGGTGCAATAGACGGACACCTGACCTTTGCAGACTCTGATGCGAACAACCCAGGTTCGATTCCTGATTAGGGCAACTCCTACTACCTCAATACTTTTATAGCTGCGATACGAGAGGGCGGCACCACTCCTAGCGACCTGGCGAACTGATATCCACTGATGAACGCAACATGGTATGAGGGTACAACGACATCAACATGAACAACGACACTTAGAGGGTCGTCTTATCCCTGAGCATAGCAAAGTCTCTTCTACCACGTTCCATCTCTTCCGGACTTCCCCACGGTTTTGGACTCGTCTCCACCTCTGGATCTTCTCTCACCTGGGGCCTCCTTCGGCTGAGTGTGGGGACATAGTTCATCCATAAGAAGTCGAAACTTCCTTCTGGGGTCTTCAAAGTGACCTTACGGTTCGTAGGGCCAATCGATAGCCTCAGCTCCTCTGGCCACACTTCATGGTTGGCCTCATCCCATAGCATGATGTCACCACTCGGTGTAGGAGTATACCTCCATATGTGATACATGGCGTCAGGCATGGGACTCCCACCGTTAGGACTTTCCACGAAGTACACGTGAGTAGCGTTGAAGCCGATGTAACAGCCAAAGAAGAGACCACTCTTGGAACGGTAGGAGCCAACGACCTTGGGAGTGAGCAAGCTGAGGGTGGTGGTAAAGAGAAGGGGAATGACGACTAGGAGGGGCTTGCACATTTGTGGACTAAGACGGGGAAATGGAGACTGTAGACAGATGGTGAAGTTAGCGTTGAGGAAATGCAAGAGAGCAAGATTCACTACTCACCACGAGAAAATTGCATGTCCGTTAAGAATGTTAAGTAACGCAGAATTAGAGATCAATCAGCTCATCGAATCGGGGTCACTAAGTTTAGTGACAAGAAATAGTGATCTAGGACACCAAGTTTAGTGACAGCGTCTGTTTGTGCCACGGAAGACCCTAGCATTAGTAAATGTGATTGCCAACTATTATCGGCTGTAAGTGGAGGCATGATAAGTACTCTATGCTCCTCAAAGACTCATACGTGTAGCTCTCGAAGAGATCCAGTTTGGTGATAGAAGTGGCGAAGGAGTGGTAGGCTGGGTGCAAGGGGTTTGTAATATTCAATACGGTGCATCGTCATCATCATCTACCATGGAGATGTCCCGCCCTTCCGTAAATGTAAAGTAAATAAAACCGCATCGAATATCTTGGAGTGCCTCAAGCCCATACGTGGACTTACTAGGCATCGGTGAAAAATGCCAATTTTGTAGGCGTCCTTCGAGTGGAATGCTTCTCCTCGAAAGGAGGCTCTGCACATAGCATCAGGGTTGGGGGGAATATATCTGTTCGCTTTCCTCAGCTCAGGAGTTTTCTCACTAGTTATAGGAGCCCACTTATGAATTCGAGTAAAATATACAGAAACCAGTGAAAATTTCCTTGGAATTTTCATATCGTCCATGTGCATATTTTTCCACACTGCGTAGCGTCCTCTGTTCCCTCCTAGTGTAGTTTATTTGATGTCTACTAACCCAACACGACCCCAGGCCACCTCCTTCGAAGAGACCGAGCAGAGCGTCCCAGTAGAGGCCCCAGTCAATGCCCCTCCAGTGGAAGGTAACACTATGGCCGCCCAGCTTGGATCCCCTGAGCGGCCAGTCCCAGCTGTGGTAGTGGCTCAAGGGATACCCTTACCAGGCCAAGAGGAGGCCCTCCCTCAACAGCAAGAGGTAGGCACAGCTAGATGGACGTATTAATCATTGTGGTGACAGCAGGCTGTAGTAGTGGAGGACACCACCATCCCTATACCCAAACACTATCGTATCAAACATACGGAGTTCCTCGGCTCTGAACGCTCATTTCTCCTACAAAGTGAGAATGGTCCTTGCCCCCTCCTAGCCGTGGCTAATGTACTACTACTACTGGTAGTGCTATTGTAATATGGGGTTGTGGTGGTATTAGGTACTACTCCTTCGTAATGAGCTACAACTACACAAGGACATGAGCTCAATCAGCTTTGATGATCTCGTCAGTAGAATCGCCAATGTAATGTTCGATAGTAATCAGGATGGAGGAGATGTGGCTAAGGGTAATATTTACTGGGAAGGGGTATAAATCTTAGCGGAGCGAAGCTGTTGTTGGTGTGATAGGTCTGGAAGATGCGGTAACACTTTTGCCCAATCTGAACGAAGGTCTAGATGTGAATGTGAAATTCGGCTCTTGTGATGGTTTCGAGTTCACCCCCGAGCTGAGCGTCTTCGATCTCCTCGATATCACTCTGGTCCATGGTTGGGTTGTCAGCAAAGACGACTTGTCAGCTTATCCCATCCTTGGGCCCCTCAGCTACAACCAGGCAATAGAGAAAGTGGTGGCCTTCAACGAGTTGCAGTCACGGGCATTACAAGGAGAGGAGGAAGAGGCCCCAGTTGATCCCGGCACCTACGAGGATGGTCTTGCTGTTAGTCAGTGGCTCGAAGAGAACAAGTCTCAGATGACCTATGATGGTCTAAGTCAAATCATGGATCGCCTGAAGGACAACGAGTTGGCGGTAGTGTTCAGGAACAACCATTTTGTGACGGTCTTCAAGCCTAGTCCTGGTGAAAATGGAGAAACGCACTTGTACGCTTTAGCGACTGATATCGGCTTTGGGAGTAGCTCGATAGTGTGGGAGCGTATCGATACTTTGGATGGTGACACGCTGTACTACGATGCGGACTTCCACAGAGCGAGCGGACAGTCCCCAGCATCTAGACAAGCCTTGGACAAAGCAGATGATGACCCGGACTATCTCCTGGCGTTGAGTTTGCAGATGGATGATGACGAGAGGGCGCGGAGGCAACCACAGGCTCGAGTGGTGACTGAGGGAAATCAACAACAACAGCACGAGGGAAGGCGTCGGAAGAGGAAGTTCTGCGTTATAATGTGAGAGCCTTCCCAGTTTTGTATATGACTACGACGAGCCTGTTAGTGTACAGCTGCTTACAGTAGGTTGTTAATACTATTGCTCTTCTTCTAAACTCAGCTTCTTACTCACCTCACTCTGTTGTGTTTACTAGTGGTTACGGACGACCTAGATCGACGAGTAGTTTTTAAACCGCTATATGCAGTATCTCCTTGGTCGGCGACGTGGGAGTAGTGATAGCGTCTCCTCTACTGGAAGTACCTGTGGGAGGCTAGTCGCTCGCAGGTGCTTCCTGTTCAGGCGGCGACGGCGGCGAGTCGATAGAGTCGGCAGGTTTTGTCGCTGCTGCCATACACCCAGGTTTGGAGTACATTAGTAATCTCTCGTCATTGAATAGAACTCTCCTACTCCTTGACCCACCGGGGAAGAGCGGTTCTCTGACGGGTAGGCTGCCGTGGTAGGTTAGCAACTTGAATGATGGTGTGACTGTTGTAGTGGAAGGAGGAGGAGGAGGTAGTGGTAGGAGTACGACGATTGATGCGGCGACTGTGAGTCGGGCGTGCGCGCCTCACATCCGAGTGGCCGCCATCAAGCAGCTACCAGAGACTTGCTATAATGTTGGATACGATGATGCAACAGAGTAGTTACGGTGGGCTCGCCGCCGATGGTCATGGTGGCAGAAATGTTATGAAAGGGTTCTAGCTTGGTTACATTTGAGGATAGTAATATTCAAGGCTCATTAGCCCAGTAGGTAGAGTGCGCGGCTTTCAATTGGAAGGTTGGAGGTTCAAACCTATCGTGTTGGACAATATTTAACCCGACTCACATCACAGTCGATACACTTCAGATACATCCTCCCCCTAGTGCTTGCACGCCTACCCACAGACCCCGACCCGTCAGTGAGGCAGGCCCTCCTCGACACCCTCGGCGAGCTTGCTGCGTTCCTTATCTTGTCCGACCCAGAGGAAGGGTCACCTCTACTGCCTCATGCACCGTTGATCCCCTAACATAGGTATGCTACCGTCGTCAACAACCTATTCCCATTGGTTACGAATATCCTTGTAAATGACAAGTCAAACGAGGTGAACTACCACTCCAACAGGACTTCGTATTTCCGATCGACAGGTCCGCGCACATGCGGCATCTGCAATGGCAACTTTGGCTGCACATATGAGGGCTCGTGACCACGGGGAAACAGTAGCCCACTGAAGTTGGCTTTGGAAGCATTGATCCATTCCAGGTTCTCTCGACACTACTTCGGTTGTCCCAAACCCCAGCAGATTTCACAGCATCAGGAACCTTAGGGGACGATGAGAGGGAAAGTGAGTTCACTCGTTGGTCTTAGATCTCATATTTAACTTCACAGGTAGCGGGAATTCCTTCGGTACTGTAGCAACAGCTGCGGTTCAGCTGATGGGTCAACTGTCCCCCACCCTGGGGCCCGACATATGCTCACAGTAACGCAGTGGTCGTCAACTCTACTCAGTGTGGGGGGAGACAATTCTGAGAAAATCTTGGGAAATTCTTATTAGTTCCTGCACACATCTACCTGAATTCTATAGTTAGTGAGGAAACTCCTAGACTCAGCCGAGGATAGCGAACATATATTCATACTCCAACACTGCCTCGACTATGCAGGTACATTGTCGCACAACTGAACTCACTCACAGAGGAGCGCAGTCCCAAAATACGGCGAACAGTTGCGGCTGCTATGGCAGAAGTTGCCGCTGTGAGCGTTGGAAACTCGCCCCTGGGTTGAATGGTTTTTTTCAGGTTGTCGGGCCGAGTTTGACTCTATCAAAATTATATCCGTTTTACGTCCAACTCACTCATGATTCTCATTGGGCTGTGCGGAAGAGCGCTATCGATTCGATGCATTTATTTTTAATAGAACTTGTCAAAGGCGACGATGAACGTAACGCGAGGTAAGCATCTCCCCAGTGTGGTAGAATTGATTCGAACCTTAGCCCGAGGGATTCGGCCGTTTCCGAACTCCTTAGCGCAATGGCTGCTGCTCTCGTCACTGACACCAGCTGGTGGGTGCGGAAGAGTGCCATGCTCAAAGTTGGCTATGTGAGCAACGAGTTACTTCATCTCCCACGTAAGGTCAGTGTAGGTGATCGCATCCTGCGGCCCCTGTACGAGCCACTCCTCGATCTTCAATTCTGTGGAGCCCCTCTTGGTGCAGTTCGCCGACTTTATCCTCTCACATGCTTCTAATTTATCACAGATGTCAAGCCGGGTAATTCTTTATAACTTCGACGTCACTGAAGATGAAGATCTCTTCAGGAATCATCTAGGAGTAGCAAGGGGACCTACAACAACAACACCAGTGGTGAATCGCTCGGTGGAGCCGAACTGAGCAGAGAAGTTCTCTACCACTGCTCCTTCACATTTGCTGGTAACGCCTCCCCTCAGCCCAGCATTGATTATAACCATCAGGTGTCGCTCGAAGCGCCTTTTCCAGTGGGGTTGAATTCGGCCCAATCTGGTCCCAGCGACTGCAGAAGCCCTTCTTATCGCTATTACACTGTAGCGAATCTAAAGTTCGGTAAGTTGCTGGTGCAGTATGTCTTTGATCTGTAGCCTCTCAGACGACCTCTCATCGCCTCCGTCCACGTCCTCGTCTCCACATGTGGTAAGCATTGTGAGGAAGTATTCGAGGACTGCGCTCTTGCTGTGGTTCAAATACTAGCCTCTCCCCAAGCTGTAAGTTACTCTGAGAAAATATGCAAATGCTCGACTACATGTATTGGCGATAATATGAAAATTCTGAGGAAGTTCTGGTGAATTCTTTCTGTTTTCTGTACACTTCTGCCATGATTCGTATATGAACTTGTATAATTAGAGAGGAAACTCCCGAGCTCAGCTGAGGACAGCGAACGAATACACTGGTGTACATCGTCTCACTTCTCCCCTACCATCTTTTCGTCAACTCTTCCGCAGAACGCAGTAGAAGCGAATTCTTGTCCGTTGCCTTCAGCTAACTGAGGAGCGTATCCTAGTACTTCGTAATGCAGTCGAAGATGTTTTCCGTCGACTAGGCCCAGGATCCGTGCTAAGGTAGGGGCCTCCTCATCTCCCTAAGGCGCTCTTGAGCTCCACTCAGAAGTCGCATACTGCGGATCCTGACGATGTTGGCCTCATCCCAGTCGGCGACTACTTCTCGGGTCAGCCGCTCAGCAAGCCTGTCATCGCTATCGAGTCGAGGTGATGATGATAATGGGAATATAACAGTTACCGACACCACGGGATGGAGGGAGAAACGAGAGCTAGCGAGAGTTGCTGGAAAGTTGGTATGATAGTACATTCGAATACATACCTTCCATGAATATTCTCAAGTTCTCCCTATTGGATGAAGACGAAGTTGAAGCCTCTGAAGACTCCCCCATCAACGAGGGCTCCATAGGCAGTTTAGTAGCACTCTGGCTCGTATTGCTCTCGGCCACTACTCCTACTATAAGTGAACGTCACTGAATAGGCTCAGGGGAGATTCCTCCCAGGTCTAGCAGCGGCAAGCTCGGCGCCTCAACTTTTCCGATGTCGACGCGTCGGCCCCGAGATGAAGCATCGCATCGTAGCATATTTGGTATGTTATCTCTACTCTGGCTCGGGCCACATACTAATCTCAGGTTAAGACCTACGCTTGTTCGGAATGCTATAGTAGACGACGGGTCCTTGTTGAGGTGGCCAAAGAGGTGATGATCGTCATCTGCCTCCGATCGGTTCATCTCTATGACAGGTTTTGTTGTCGTCCCGCAGTGGGGGTGTTCGAGACGAAGGAAGTCTGCGATCTGAAGCTAGATACTTCCTGACTTTGCTAGCTCTGCTAGGTCTCGATGATTGTGTCCATGTACGCAGCTCCGTGGCTTCTGTCGGAGAGTTGTCGATTTCAGATAAGGCTAGCAGTGGTCTCCACCCTTCATCTCCTCAACCCTTTACCCGCTCATCCCCCTGAGAGCATAGAGACTCTGATAGAGACTTTGCGACAAGATGATGATAGAGAGGTCCGGACTGTCGCCAAGAGTGAATAGTATTCTCCTCTGGACCTTGTCGAAGCGGTCTGCGTCAGGCATCCTCATCAGTACGCCTCGAAGGTCGTCCTCTTTTGACTGGGGGACCGACACCGAATATGAAGACCTTCCGTCTCCATCTACTGGCGACTACAGCGTCCATTGGGTTCTCTATGGCGGTGGGTTGATGATGTCGCCTTTGTGGATAGGATGTGTATTCTATTCAGATGACATAGGGACTGCCTTGTCTCCGTCATCGTCTTCGACCCGGCCGGTGCCTCCATGCAGTAGCAGCTGCAGTAGCCTGTCAGGTGTCGATGGTGGGACTGGGAGTAGCGACGGGGCAGGCCATACTCTGCTAGAGGAGGTGGACGAGGAGCTCGCAGAGGCTCTTGCGGCTCGACAGAAAACGACTACGACTGTTGGTAAGTATCAACCATAGCGTTCGAGTAACTCAAGAAGTCAACCGCAAGTCAATCAACGGAAGGGTGGACCATCAGGCCGATTGTGATTCAGCGATGGACTCTATCAAACACTTCCGCTCAGCGGCGTTCGGCACAGTACTTAAATGGTATGCATACTATCGAAACATGATACCAAACTCACGTTATAGAAGCGATGTCTTCGAGCTCTGATGCCACGATCAACGTCCACATCATATTACTTACAGATACCATACGACACGACACGCCTCGGTCGACCCCTGGGCAAGCATCCCCGAGTATAAGTCGCTCATTCTACATAGGGGGGGAGGACGCTGAGGATGAGAGAGTCGACGATGCAGTGGACTTCCCTCTTGAGGATTACCGGCAAATGAACGACGATGTGGGTGGCATACCGCGGAGCCTTCAAGCACAGGGTCAATTCAAAATCAATTTGAATCACTTGAATAAACCGTATTGATAACAGTCAATCATCACAGCATTCTTATGGCGCAGGAAAATCCAAAGCTATGTGTAGAGAGCCGCATTCACCTTCGGCGTGTTCAGATTACTCGACTGCCCCTGGCTCCGGAGACCCTCACTATTCAGAACGACAGCATAGAGGATGTGTTCGACCAGACAGATTGGACAACAGCCACCCTCTCGCCGAAATCGCGAGGCGTTAGTTTTGACGAAGGATGACGCCGTTCATCCGTTAATCACCTTTTGTCTTGTGCTTGCCATATTGTATTCTCATTGAAGGTTGACTTTCAGAGATTATTCTGTCTTGGGTTGATCATAGTGTTCGTCTTGGATTCGTCCACGTTCAGCGGGATAATAGTGATGGTGTGTGTATTCAACCACTTAGCTCAGAGACTCATTGCTGCCTTATCCGGCTTTGTTCGCGACCGGGCAAATAGTTGCACTCATGCCACTCATCGAGTGGGTAAGTTTGTGTCTTTTTGTTTCGACCTCATCCGTATAACATCATCTGTGCACAATGCGAGTAGGAACAGGCGAGGATTCTACTGTCATTAATATTAGGGAAGGCTGGCCATTCAGCATGGTGATCTCCTATACTACTTTTGGCGCCCTCGAACTAATAACACCAGTATAGCGAATTGATATCAACAGGATGTAAGACATGTATAACACGAGTTTATTGCTTGCTATGGGATGGTAAAATGACGATACCGCATGTGGTGTTGATGGACACTGTAGACGGCCGATTTCCCTCGGAGACCTACAGTGCACTGCATAAACAGTACGAGTCCTTACGTAACCCACCATGGCAGTTTGCTTTAGCGCATCCGAGGCATGGGACTCCCTCCCATCGGGCATACAGGAGGTGTGATAGATGACACGCTGGAAGGTCGTCCCGCCGAATGCCAAGTTACGCTCTGCTTCGCTCCGCTGAACTTTCCTCAACTCTTCGATCGAGACCCTCGGTAAGCCTGCGACTAGCATTGTTGGAAGATTAGCCGTATTAGCTACTAAGTGAAGCGGGGTCGGGCTGACTGCGGGCTCGGCAAGGCCCTCTGATAGAGTAACTCGCATACTCTCCCGAGTCCTGGGCCCGACCAGCAAAGTGACCCACTCGGGAGTATGGGGGTTTGATGAAGGCCCAGCTATCAGGAGTTGGCATCAAAGAAGTGCTATTTTACAGGGAAAACAAGAGTCGCCATTCTACTTTGATTAACCAACACAATTGCCAAGGAATAGAATCACGGTTGAACGCCATGCGTTGAAACATCGGCGGAGCGACGCGGAATATACTTCTATAGACTAGTTTGATGAACCAGATAGGCTAAGCGGACTTTCATACGACGATGTGTGGTAGGATTATATGATGGTGAAACGTGAGAAGCAATTGGTGGGGACACGACGGTAACGGAAATGTACAGACAATCTCGAATTAACTGTCGATGGTCACCGTCGTCTTCTCCTCTACAATTGTTATAATGTCGGATAGGATGACCCTGGCGAGTCCCTCCACAGGGGCCTCCCTCTCCTCATCCGGTTGGTCTGGAGCGGTCTCCAGTCGAGATGCCTCAACAGGCTTCCTCCTTTTCGGGATCTTCACTTCTTCCTTGAAGCCTAGGATGATCTTCTGTGTTGATCTCCTAGGCTGGTCGGCTGAATGAGGCCTCGAACTCCTCGAGCTGCTGTCAGGAGTCACATCAGGAATGTCGATGGAGAACACCTACACAGACCCTCCAGTTCCCAGCATATCGTAGATGTGCACGACCTCTGGTGGTCGTGTTTGGCCCTCGACTCCATCGGTTTTCGCTTCAAGTCGACTAACTCCTCTACGACCAGCCATAGTAGAGTCACAACTTCGAGCTCGACGATTGGCAGAGGACCTATCGATGTTCCCTGAGCAATAGTCGGCAGGGAATCTCACTACACAAGAGGCAACCCCACACTCGTGGACGGCTTCATCGTAGTAGCACGACCTGGTATGGCGGCGATAATGATAGTCGTCAGTTATCGAATACTTCCAACCCTTGTCAAGGACAGCCGCCTTTCTCTCTTCCTTTTCCTTCACTCTCATCATCAAAGCATCATCATTTTTCATCTTGGACTCCTCAAATCTGAAAGAATACATACATTCCGGCCAGTCGGGAGGCCTCACAAAAGACCATCACTTAGACCAACTCCGACGGGTGTCCTCCTGGAGGCATGGGGGAGTGATTTAACCATCTCCTCTTTCTCCTTCTCTACAGCTTCAGCCTCCGCCTTCCGCTTATGCGCCTCATCGTGGCTAAAACCGGGCACATCCTGTATAGACAATTATTCGTCGGAGTACAAGGAGGCATGAAGATCCTTCCCCATCGGCGTTTTAGGGGTACTTCGAGAGCCCATAATGCAAACCTCCAGAGCTTTTTTCTCCCTAACAGCTACCACTATGACTATGACCATCGGCGCTCCTCGTCCTCCTCACTCTCTCATCTTCCGGATGCGCTCATCTCTGGCAGCCCTCTCACGATAGAGGTTCTCATGAACCCCACCACTGCCAATCGGAGATCTGCGGCCACCCAAATTGGAACTGCTCGTGGGCCTGTATCGGCCCAATGACTTCCGCAAGTTGGGCTGATAGGTACCTGCTGACGTCACCATCCTGTCTCCAGTTACCAAGACGCCATCATGGAGTTGAGAATGCGGCAGTGCCCAACGGCAAAGTACATTCCTTGTCCTCCTCCGCTTTCACGGCCTGGGCCAACTTCTCCATCCTCTCTTTTCGAGCCTGCGACTCGGCATACCTGTTATAACTCTTCAATGTCACTCCCGCACGTTCTTTACTCACAGACGTTGATGACCAGCGCTCTTCCTTTTGGCGCTCATGCTGGTCCCAGGAATCGAACCGGTGACATCTCGATCTCTCTTATCCATCCTCGGGACCCTGGCGAGAGGTTGGAAAGTACCTGCAGATGAAGACACCTTTGCTCCGCTCCGCTAAACGAAGAGGACCACTTCCTTGAGAGACTCTCGGACGAAATCCTTGGCACTCAGCAATCTCCCTCAGCTCGGCCTCCTCCTGCATTTGCTCCAACTTAGCACGCCTCTTCTCTCCATCAGCATACCTGACAGGCTGTCAGTGACAGCTTCAAAACGTCTCGTTGAAGAGACCAACAGTAGTCGTACAGCCTATTGGTAATCTCACGGATGTCAACGGTTTTAGCCGACTTGCCCGGCTTCTTGAACTGAAATCTAAGATTAACGACTTTCAAACCCTACAATACTCACTCTGGCCGCGTCTATCTTGGCTTCCTCCTCAGCTGAATACTGCAATGTGAGCTGCTTCACTTTGGCTCGCCTTGTGTCCACAGCATCCTCTGAACCCTCACGTGTTCTCACAACCTCCCTCTGTCCCCCTACTGCTCATGCGTCCAACCATGTCCATCATACTACTGCCTTTGTGTTGGCTCATTGACTCAGCAAACGCTGAACTTCCATTCAAAGCCGGTCGATGTCTACTAGGCGGGCAGAACTGAGGAGCTCGACTACTCCCACACTTGTTCCTTAGTGACCGATACCTTGCTGGCCTCCATCTCCTGTCGCTCTTTTTCCATTAACTCCTCTCTCATTTTCTGCAACTTCGAAGCCCGAGCATCGGCCTCATGCTTGCTCATTCTCTCCCAGAATCCCT